CTTTTTTACTTTTCGTACGCTTTGGCCTTCCCTCTCCCTTCCCCTCTCCTCCACCTCCACCTCCACCACCTTTTCGTGTCTGGCGAAAGTTGTCGGGAAATACTGACCCCCGGATTTTGTCGATAGCTGGTGGCCATCAAGCACATCTGGCGACGAGTCGCTGCACGCTACATATCCTGCCAGTGGCTGGCCGACTCCGCGTGCCGGCAACGGTCCCAGCAATCAGCCTTCTCCAAGTCGCCGGGAGCATGCCGCACAGCCGCCGCCTCTGACCACGGCATTGAGCGGTCATCAGTACCAGGGCCTTGGGGTGGGAGTCAGTGGTTACATATCGACGCCGCTGTCAACAACTTCTCTCTCGAGTCCCTTCACCCATAGCCAGTCCCCCGCAGTGACGACGCCCGGCGGGGTGCCCGTCGGTTCATCTTCCTCCATGGCTTCCAGACAGTACAATATGCCGTATAACCCTCAGGATTGGGGCCCTGTCGGTGTGAGTGCGGGACAGGCTCCGTATCAGCACCAGGCTCTTCGGGTCGTCTCGCACCCGCGACATCCAGGCACTCATTCAGGTTGGTCATGATCCCTATGCGTACATGTCTATATGGTGCAATAGTCTGTTTGGGGTTGGAGCGAATCCTAACCACATCTCTGTTAGACATGTCTCTCTCTCCACCTCCCCCGCCTTATTCACCACCCAGCCAACCCCAAGCGCAACTACAACATCAGCAACCGCAGAGCAACCATGCCACACAATACGCTGCCTCTAATCGCGGTTCGGTATCCCCAGGAGCAGGATCCACCTACGGCGGAGGAGCACACGCGAGCACGGAGCCCCCAGTGGAGTATCGTCAGCATCCGATGCCCCGGACGCGCCCCTTATCCATAGTGCAAGATGCCAGCCACGCCAGGCAAATGAATATACCACCGCCTCCTCCTTTACCGCAAGGTGTCCCGTCTTCAAGATCGTCCTCGCAGAATCGGCCAGATCCCTACCCGGAACAGTCGTCTTTCGCCACGAGCTCTCGGCCATATGTCGTGGTGTCTCCGGGTCAGCATATGTCGCCGCAGGCAAATGGATATGGCCATGATAATTCCTCTCTCTTTGAGGATCTCTCCCGCCCACCGGCGTCGAGGAGGGCGGTCTCCGCTGGGCCAGTGGTGAGCAGCGCTGGTTCCTCACGGGCGGCCAGCCAGTCTCGTAGTGGATCACCGCCCGAAGGATCTGGCTGGGCGCCCGGGATGCCGCTCCCTCCGCCTCCGCCCGGTCCTCCGCCGACCTCCAGGTCGCAGAGTGTTAATGGTCTGCATGACCATTCATCGTTGCGGAACTCACCGCATTCTAACAGGACAGCCAGACGACCACCCCCCGTCCTGGGGACTACTCTCGGTAGCGTCCCCCCCACGCCAGCGGATTGGGTGGACGAGGGGCGCAACCAATCCAGAAACAGAGGCAAAGCGCCTCTCAACGTCAACACAACCGATTTATTGAGGTCTCCTGCCGGACCGAGCACCGCTGGATCCAACGACCCGTCGCAGGCGAATAGTGGGCTGTTTCGGTGTCCAGCCATTCGCGACCCCAGCGCCAAGGGGATCCGAGAACGGCGGATTGAGCGCCGCAATCGACAGGGCCAGGTTATTGACGATTTTAGCGCGGTCTCGGCCCAGAGCAATAGCAATCCCTGGGCCGATGCGTTGGACCAGGTGAAGCCCTCAGATTTGGTCCTGGATGACCAGCAAAGTACCCCACCACACTCTCGAAGCCAAGGACCATCCAAGTTCACTACTCCGCGCAGCACCACCAGCGCCACTTCGGACGGGCAGCTCCCGTCGACGTCGCGCTCTCGTGCCTCGTCCACGGGACTGTTCTCAAACCGCTCCGCCTACTCGACACCCCGAGCGGAGCCAAGCCCGCTAGGCCCGTCGCGAACATATGCTCAAACACCTCCGTTCTCGCCCGACGAGACATCCTCATCCTCAGTCGCGAAGCCGACCTCCCAAGCCCTGCCCCCGAAAGCGCTCCCTACCCCTCCTCTCCACTCCGGACAAGAGATGGGCACTCCGTCCCGTTCTGGATCCCGCGAAGAACGACCGGTATCGCATCTGCTGCACTTACCCAACGAGGCGGCGTCCTCGGTTCCGCCGCTGTCCCCGCGCCGAGCCCCGTCCCAAAGCTCGTCGCTTGACGCGGTTGTCAATCGCGACCTGACTTTCGTCCAGAACGCCATGCAAAGACACAAAGAGTTCGTCGAGAAGGAAGCGGCCGCGTCGGACGAGGCGGAGGCTTTGAAAATAGTCGCCGATTACATGATTGCAGAGTCGCAGATTCGCCGCGAGCGGTACACGAAGGCCTGGGACACCGGTGCGTTCAACGTCGAAGAAGTCCGCCAGAAGCTATTTGTGTTGCCTCCGAAGCCGAAGCCGAAGCCGGCCCCGCCCCCCGCCCCGGTCATGCCGCCACCGCCGCTATCACGGCGGCCTTCACGGGGAGCGCCCCGGCTTGACATTCCCCAGTCGCGGCCCGAGTCCGCCTGGTGGAACAATTACCAGCCCTGTCTGTCCCCGATTGCCAGTCTTGGCATGAGCAACGATGAGATGAGCTCGAGAGGCCGCGCTCCTAGCCGGTGGTGGGAATCCCATTCCAGCAGCGAAGGCGGCGATCGGAGGGTCCAACGGTCGAAGCGAGAGTCCAAGTACATGGGTCTGCCCCGTGAGGCTCTGCAGTGGGCTCAAGGAGGAGCAGGGGGAGGGTTGGTCGACTCCAGACACGTAGGCGCGACCTTGGATGCGGCGGAGCCGTACGCCTCGTACGGCCCGGACGAGTATCCGCCGGAGAAGGTCGGATGGCACGAGGAGCGTGCGGCGTCGGACTATTCCAGCACGGTGGGCCACGGGGCCTACCTCAACGAGACACCGAAGATGGACGTGTCCCGGCTCATTACGCTGCCACCGCCGTATCCCCGACACCACCCAGCCGTCAATAACAGCCACCCCGAGCTGGTGAACTACCGAACACTGGTGCGGTCCGTCAGCGAGCTGACAGACATCAAAGCAACGCGGCAGCGCCACCAGGCCGAAGTGGAGACTTTGCGGCAAGACCACCGGCAGCGCGTCCAGGAAGGCCGTCGACAGTTCAAAGCGAACATCCAGAGCCAGATCCAGCAGGGCAGCCTGACGTTCGCGGAAGCCGCCGAGGCGGAGGCGGCCCTTACTGTGGAAGAGCACCACCTCGAGAGAGCGCTAGCCCAGCGGGAGCTCGACTGCTACCAGGAGTCGGTCATGGAGCCCAACCACCAGGTGCTGAAGGACCGCATCCAGAAGGCGACCGCTTGCATCGACGAGCTCCAGAGCAAGCTCTTCGACGACGCGCAGCACGAGACCCCCGATCAGACGCAGGCCGAGGGCGACGAGAAGCCCGAGCTCCTGGAGAAGCTCACGCAGCTGAAATGGCTGTTCGAGGCGCGCGAGCAGCTCCACCGCGAGACGTACGACCTGGTCAGCGACCGCGACGAGAAGTACAAAGCGGTAGTAGTGCTCCCGTACCAACAGAAGAAGCACGACGACAAGGTGGGCGAGACGCATGCGTTCTTCATCAAAGACGGCCTCGACCGTCGGACGAACTACGAGGCCAGCGCACTCGCCCGCCTCGAGTCCTTCCACGCCGTGATCGAGGAGAACGTCGTCCGGGGCGTGGAGATGCAGCTGTCCGCCTTCTGGGACATCGCCCCCTCCCTTGTGGCACTGGTGCAGCAGATTCCCGACCGGCTGGACGGCTTCCAGATCCAGATCCCGGCCAACGAGTACGAGGAGAACCCCAGCTACCACCGCCACCCACTACAGTACCTCCACTCGCTGCTGTCGCACGCCGAGAAGTCCAGCTACCAGTACATCGAGTCGCAGATCAATCTCTTCTGTCTGCTGCACGAGGTCAAGTCGGCTGTCATGCGCGCCCACTGCAAGCTGATGGAGGCGGAGCGCATCCGCCAGGGTGAGGCCGAGGACAGTGTGCGTCGCGAGATGCACGAGTCCCGTGCTAATGAAGAGCGCATGCTCACCAACGATCTGAAGGATAAGGTGGCTACGGTTGAGGGACAGTGGACGGAGGCTCTCGGCAGTCCCATCCAGGCACTCCGTCAGCGGGTACGGGGGCAGCTTGAGGCGGAGGATGGCTGGGAGGACTTGGAACAGTTGGAGCAGACTTAATCTACAAAAGGATTGGATGTGGAGGGATTTTGACTTTGATTTGCTTTGTTTATTTTTCTGTCTTTCCTGCTCCTGTCTTCTTTATTTTGCCATCAGCGGAAGATACCCATTACGTTCGCTACAGTTATGAATTCGCGATATGGAAAAGTTGCCTGAGGCACCTAGTTTGATATGATAACTAAGCATTCACGTGACGCATTCTAGCAGTTTCGGTTCCGCGTCCGCCGATTTTTCTCGCTTCTTCGACGTCGCCTTATTTAACACTCTTTCCCTCCTTCTCCTTCTCCTTTTCTGACTTCATCTTCTCCCGCTACTCTCAGGATTGATTCTGTCCTGTTGTACTCCTTTTCTCCCTCTATCCGATTTTTCTCCTTTAGTGAACTGTAAGTGTTGAATGTTCCTTCTTCCTTCTCCCCTCAGCCTTCATCTCACCCCGCGGTGGGATGGCTGAATCCTCAATGATGAGATCTCATAGCTGGCACCAGTCAGACGTTGCTGGATTGTTTACAATCCTTCAGCCATGCTGAGTAGCTGCGATCCGGTATACGCAACTGTGATCCTGAGGAAGTCCTTGCACTTCTTGATTCTTTCTTTGTCAACTTGTGTCATTGCATGGTGGAACAAATCGCTAATTAGTGTCTTGCCCACAACAGAACTTAGTGATCGTCGCTCAATTAGAGAGCTTACCTTGTCCTGTCTGCTCCAACTTATCTTTCCCATCAGGAGCCTGTAGTTTTCAGAATTAAAAAGAAACAAACCAAACCAAATCTCCTCTTTTAAAGCTCCCCCCCAACGTCATCATGGTTCTGCACAATCCCAACAACTGGCACTGGGTCAATAAGGATGCCTCCGAATGGGCCAAGACTTATCTGAAGGAGAATCTCCTGACCATCGCCGCAGAGGATAATGGTGTCTCTGCCAAGCTCTCCAACCTCCTGACCATGGATGGCGACGTAGACGTCAGCCAGCGCAAGAACAAGGTCATCACCCTGTTCGATGTGAAACTTCAACTAGAGTACGAAGGTTCGTGAACGGCTAGATTCTCTGTTCCGTCCGGGTTGCATCCCACTAAGACCTCGACAGGTAAGACCAAGGACGAGGAGCTGGTCAGCGGGACCATCACTATTCCCGAGGTGGCCCACGACACGGAAGAAGATGAGTATGTTGTATGTCTCCTATGAACGGTGATCCGCCCATTGTATTTCAGAGGGTTCTAGCGGAACTGACTCGGGGTTTTTTTTCTTCTCGTGAATAGTTTGAGATCGAGAATTACGCCGATTCGCTCGCCAAGCAGCCCGTGAAGGATCTGGTGCGCTCCAAGCTGGTTCCCCGGATCCGTCAGGAGCTCGTGAAGCTCGCTCCCGCTCTGGTCAAGGAGCATGGCAAGGACCTGCAGCACGCCCCTGGCGTCGACCCCTCCAAGGGGTTCACGCCCGCAGCCGTCCACCCCCAGACCGCCAAGAAGGAGGCTGCTCCCAAGACGACGACCACCACCACGACCGGCACCAAAGTTGCCGTCAACACCACGACGGTGACGGCCTCGGATGAGATGCGCACGACCGCCGAGGAACTGTACATCACCTTCACGGACCCGCAGCGTATTGCCGCGTTCACCCGTGGGCCGCCCCGTCAGTTCGAGGGCGCCCACGTCGGTGGAAAGTTCTCCATCTTCGATGGCAACGTTGTCGGCGAATACGTCAAGCTCGACAAGCCCTCCCTCGTCGTGCAGAAGTGGCGCCTGGCCCAGTGGCCCGAGGGTCACTTCAGCACCCAGGAGATCCACTTCGACCAGAACGACGTGGACGGCGTCACCCAGATGCGCGTGACCTGGTCCGGTGTGCCCGTTGGACAGGAGGACGTTACCAAACAGAACTGGGACATGTACTATGTCCGTAGCTTGAAGCAGACGTTCGGGTATGTTTACTCCCCTTTCCCGTTTTTCTTCCATTGTCATCATCTATCCCATATTGCCTACCTTCCTTACCAGTTATCGTGGCAGATCGCCTTTGTCTTCATCCTCTTGGAAACCATTGCTGATCTCGTTCGCCGTTGCTTCTCTTGGCATAGGTTTGGCACTCTCCTCTGATCGCTTTACGAATCTGTGGAAGCCGTAATCAACAACTCGTCATGACCCACCCATACCCATCGGCCAGCCATTTTGGAGGAAGGACAAGGACGAGCACCAGGACCGTTGGGGTGATATCAACAAGTCAGGAGCGTGGATGGGGATCTGCCTTTCCACGCGTCCTGCAGGAGTGCGGATGTCCATGCGTTCGGTTAGAGTAGATCTCTTCTTGTTTCTATGACGGGCATTCTTTCATATCCATCCCTCGGCCTTTCATTCAACCAAACCAACCCACCCACCCAAACTCAACTCTAAACAAACACCTCTTGGTTTATGTACTTCATGTATCTGATGTTCATCCTTTTTTCCCTTTTACCTTCCCTTTAATGTTTACGAGGGCATGGTTTCAACGATTGCACGATAGACTGATAATCGCCAACAATAAATATACTCTGACTGCTTAGATTGGGTTGGGAGAATGTGAAGTATCTCGTTGGCAACCATATGTATGTTTCTTCTTGCACTCACATGAGTTACCGTTAAGTCAGTCCGTCCGTTGCCAACTAGGCTAGGCTACTTGTAAAGTACTGCCTGGCAACCAGCCAAACAGTTAACTGACCTACCGAGTTCTTTTCCCACTGTTTTATCATCTTGTATTTCAATCACACTGCAAGCTTTTCTATAGTCCGTATACCATTGGATCATATTCTTTCTAAATAGTCGTTATTGCTAGCTCCACAGGTGATGAGCCTTGGGTCTCTACCAGCTACCACGGTGTTGTATCCTTAACCTAAAGTTCAGAATCGTGATTATTCAAATCGTGCATAATACAAACTACCTCTAAAAATATTGAATATCTACCCTGATGTTATATTCCTGGGAAGACCCCCAGAACTCGCTCTGGTTCAGGGCAGATCCTGAAGCTAGCCCCCAAATCCCAGCCGGATTGGAGGCACCCCACACCTAGAATCCCCCAACCCGCCCCGAAAATATCGAGATTGTCTTATATCCATGTAGAAAAGGATATTAAATTTTTACCAGTCATTATTTATTACTTTGTTTTCCAGCTGGGAATCTCTCTGGAACATCCTTTTTCCGCTCCCTGTAGCGATTTCGAGTCTCAAACCGAGCCCCGACATACCATATACATTAGCTAAAACGCATCCTCCATTTTGAAACATCATGTAACGCCCACGACTCAGTTGAACACCACGTGAAATATTGCTCCGACTATGCGCAATCCGCTGTCCATGCTGAAGACGTGGCGCAGAACCCAAAGCGGAACCCCCCCCACTCCTCAGGGTGAACAGCTCCGTCAACGCCTTCAATCTGCACAAGTATCTTCTCCACTCAATACAGCAGCATTCTTTGTTCCCATTGGTGAGCTCAACGCGCTTATCGAGCCTGGGACCGTGCATGGCATACTCCAAGAGTTAGACAAACAGTCCTCCGAGTCTCACGAAAGACTGACTGCGACCATCGTTCAAACAGCACCCAGGCTTTTCGCCCTCCTGGTCTGGATCGGCCAGGCCCATCGAGTCTTCTCTCTCAGGTCGCATCATCTCGATGATACGAGCCTACCGTTAAATGAAAGAGCTAGCTTCGGCTGGGGCACGGAATGCGAGGCCAGGATTCTGCGCGACCAGTGGATCTTCCTTGCGCCAGTTTTTCAGACTGAAGGTCAATCCATCAGCATTCATCCCTCTGTGCCTCTACCGTTCATATCTGCTACTCCTGTAAGCAAGGAATCAGACAATCGAACCCTCCGTCAAGTTCAAATCCACCCTTCGCACCTCGGAATTTTCAATGGCGATGATGTATGAAATGCCTTGTCCCTTTCTCATTGGTACTACTATTAAACAAACCTCATTTCCCAGGTTGCTGCGACTCCCGTTCTAGCTCTCAAACTGTTCAAAACCAAAGCAAGTATAAGATTTCAGCATGAAGTTCACATCCTTCAGCTTCTCAACCAAGTTTCCAGCCGCAATATCGTAAAGCTTCTCGTGGCATTTTCAAACCAGTACACCCGCGGTATTATATTTCCATGGGCTGAATGCGATCTCTCCGAGATGATGATGCGGGCAATACCGCCCAATCAACGATGTGAGCTTGGCCTCTGGACTCTTCAACAGTTCATTGGCCTTTTAAATGGACTTGCAACGATTCACCGCATACCCGAAAGCAATGGATGTCGATCACGCACGCAGTGCCGACACGGTGATCTCCGGCCGGCTAACATACTTGTCATGAAAGGTTCGAAAGCCCCTTGCGACCATCCAGCTAGTATCGCGAGTTGTAGACTCCAGATCGCTAGTATGGCCATGGCGCAATTATTTCAAGACGAAAGCCAATATACTGTTCCGTCGGAAACCGGCACGTATCAAGGACCAGAATGCCACCTTCAAACTGCGATTGGACCGTTGTACGATATCTGGTCGCTGGGTGGACTTTTTCTTGAGATGATTATCTGGTGGCTTGAAGGGCCGAGCGGACTCGAAAGTTTCGCCGACGAGCGAATCGCACCAGACCCTCTACTCGGAGAAAGGGTCCAGGACGATTATTTCTTTACCCTCTATACTGAAGACGAGCGGTATGCTGGTGCTGAAGTTAGATCTTCTGTTATGTCGTCGATAAAGAGGCTCGAGCAGGACGAGAGATTGAGCCCTGCGTTTGTGATCTTATTGAGCGTCATCAAGAGCGACATGCTTGTACCCATTGGCAGTCAGCGGTTGGGAGCGAGTGAGCTCTCAAGAAAGCTTATGCACCTATTGAATGGCCAGGGAGGAGACACGGCGGATGTCCAGTGCAGCAAGTGACTTTGTATTGTTCTACCACATATCGAAAGTGGTAGTCGAGTATGACATCTTTCGCCTACAATCTACTTCAGGATGCATTCTGCGCCCCGTTCATGGCCAATGCTACTCTTCTCCGCAATGATCCCGGTGGTTTAGCTGCCACACAATAATCGTTACCGAACCGGTACCGACGCGCGCTGCCCCATCCTAGACTGGGCAACAATTCTAGAAGACGACCTTCTTATCCCCATATCCGGTCTAGACCCTCTGTCCTGCTCGGCATATTGACTTCTGCCCTCCGGGCTCACCAATTTCTGCCGGTCATGGCGCCGGAGCAGGAGTCCATCCAGTCCCCGGTACGACACGTTAGTGCCGTTAGCCGCGTCTTTCTCCCAAATCGTACCGAGGAACCAGTACCGCCAAGTGTAGAGCACCAGGAGCGTCAAGATGGCTGAGAGGGCACAGAAGATCCAGATACTCGATCGGGCCGTGGGCCAGAAACTATGAGACTCCCAGTCAAATGCAGGAAGGGCGAAGACGGTCTAGTGGATACTGGTTATTTTCCTACTTAAGCGCAAGTGGGTTATGGGGTGGTTGGATTGGAAGAGATTTACTGCCAGTGTAGTTCCAGGCAAGAACACCATGGTGAGGACAGCGAGCGCTTTCATCGCCGAGCTATCGTTCCCACTTGCTTTGGCGATGACGCGACTCGAAGTGGCAATCTCCTGGTTGATGATATTTGCCTTCTGGGATCTTTTGCTGTCGCTTTGGGCGATCAAGCTCCACAACTTATGATTGTGTTGTCAATACCGACTCCAACATGGATTGGCGGTATGGGCTTGTCTGAGGGGAATGGGACTCACTGTAGTCAGTAAGAGACTGGCGCCTTCCTTGAGGAGCAATGTTTGCTGTTCCAGGTCCTTGTATCCAGTAGCTATTTGCTGCAACCGGTGGGTGATTGAGGTTGCTGTCTGGAATCGGGGACTAAGTGGAGTTGTTTGTCTCTGCAACGACTGTTCCGCGAGGTCTTGCAGCAAGTCGATGTTTGCTTGGAAAGTACAGAAATGACGATACATACGGCCGTGCTTGCTGTGCATGGCGAAAATGGTGCTCAACCAGTCAGCTATCTCGGGCAGATCGCGGGTCCTGTCCTCCGTGAAAGGGGAGAGTTTGGTTATCACTCTAGCTTTTTCTTGGAGTTCGAAGAAGAGGTCGTCGTATCGGCGCCAGTATTCTTGGGTGATGTGGGTATGGCGCTCATATTGGATCTCAGCCAGAAGAAAGGCCATAAGGGTGGGTTCCTGCAAGGCTTGAGAGGCCTGCTTCAGCCATCCTACGATATGTTGGGCTTCATTTTCCGTACAGCCATGGAGAAATCCAGTCGTGAATGAGTGATGATTATCAGCTGTGGACCTTACGGCGAGGATCAAGTCTGATGGCAGCGCTCGTTCTGTCCGCATAATGTAACCTGTTGAAAAGCATTTGGGGGCATGTCAGATGCAGCGCGATGAAGGCGAGGCAAGGGCAACAGACTCAGACTTCGAGAATCCAGGTCTTCTAGGGAGAATGAAACCTTCGAGTCGTCTCCCAAGGACGTAACGGTCTCAATGAACTCCGGTTCGAGGTTTAAATGGCGAAGCACGGCTACTAGAGTGGACTTCGACATGGAGAAGTTACAGAGGTCGAAGGATGATGAGAGGTCAAATGGCCGGTCTGCAGCCAAGTACGTGTCGTCCCGTAGCGAGATTCTGCACGTATTTCAGTTGAGTCCCGTATGATCTTTCCATTGCACTCACATTAGACGGAACCCCCAGCTCCAATGGCTGTCCGAGGTGGTTGGCATTGTCGACACGAGCGGCTGTCAATCTCTTGTAAGAGGATGGACATCTCCAACAAAACCTCCATACCTTTTTGATACGATCGCAAATCTCTGCATCGGTGCTGAGAACATGGTCGAAATGAACACCAGGAGGGTTACTTCCACCACTGAATCCGGGTCAATGATCTCCGATACCATGGCAGAGATAAGTTGCCACTGACCTAGTCCACCTTGCTTCAACAACATGGCATTGTTGCAATATTGATGGATGCCTCGCGGAGTCGGTAAATTTGAGTCGCTTCCGGGTGTTCTTTAAGCCATTTAGGCTCCACGATGGCAAGCCCATGGTGCTGGTTCTTGGGAATGGCGTCACCCAGCCAAGGAGGCGAACAGATGACATGTTCAGCTGAGAATCCTTTCCCTCTTGAAGCGCACGTACGTCTACTAGCGGCTCCTGCGCCTGCGAGGCTTGGCTTGGCGCGACGAGGCGGGGTACGACTTCAACTCAATCTCCACAATGATGAGGCTGGCCGAATCGATGTGCCTGGGCAGCTATCATCAAATCAATTCTGGGATTCTGGACCCAACGGCCGCAAGAGGGGATTTTTCTTATTATGAGAAAACGCTTTGCAGAGGCCATAAGGTCTGGAAAGCCCAACAAGAATAAGCCCGGAGAGCAGCCAAGCACCGAACGTAACGACGCAGCAACATCGGCCAGCAATGATAATGATAATGATAACCAGCAGAAAACCACACAAGATCTGCCGTCACAGTACGGGATACGTCAAGTAGTAAGCTCTAGATATCTCATCAGAAAGCGCTTGGTCAATCTGCTCGAAGAGCGTTTCCCAGGCCGCTGGTCACTTACGGTTCGTGCACATCGTTATGTTCTACACAGATCATGATTGACCAGTGTGTCATTTAGTTGCGCTTTGATACTTTGTTTATTGATCTACCGGCGCCACTTTCCCCGGTAAGTCGTTTGGATCGCACTGTGACCCCTCAGTCTAACCACCGCATAGGAGGACTTGGATCAATGCGTGGAGGGGAGCACGAGTGGGTCGTCAGGGTGAGCCAGGGCTTCGACTACATGGAAGCAGAAACCCACGGCAGCCCTTGAGCGAATACCCGCATACGAGTATACGAAGAGTGTGCAAGATTGTCATTTTGCCCGAGGGGAAGTAATACCATTCGAGTTCCCGGAAGGCGAGAGTGGTGGTATGGGGCCAAGCGGGTTAATATTCGATACCCCTTGACAGCTTCAATGCGACTTGGGGGTATGAAGGCTGTTCTCTCATTCTGACAACGGATTGAGCAATTTAAACAAGATGTAACTAGATATCAGCGGGTAGGGTATTTATCGCAGGGACGGGTCTTTCGAGGAAACGAGCAACTTGGATGGTCCGCCTCGATCGCTGCATACGGCGTTGAGTCACCTGGAAGCAGAGCTCCTACTCAATACTGGGGAGGTCGGGGTATATGGAATCACCACCACCGACTATACAACTTATATGAACGCTTGAAAAACGTAAACCAACACAGGGAAAAAGTAGAAGGCAAAAAGAAAGAAAGAAAGGAAAACTCCAGAACTGCCACATGTCTTCTACATAGCCACAACTCAGTCTTTGGATGAAGATGGTCAGATCGATGTCTACGGTCTCCTCCCCGGGCCGCACAGGATGTGTTGGAGCGGTATTTGGAGGGGTGGGGGATTTAGTTTTGTGGTGAGCTTGCTTGGCTTTGGAGTTGGCGTACAACATATGACAGAATGCTTTGGTTTTGAGTTTTATAAATGATCGTATTTGTGATTGAAGCATGGTAAAAATGCACTGAGGTAGTAGTAGTAGGAGTAGTAGTAGTATTTATTAATGTTCTAGTGAGACCACCACTCCCTCCCTCTGCTACCTTAGTAGCAAAAGTAGTACGACCCAGAGACCTCCCGTAGGGTATGAGGACGCGCCCTCGCTATGAAACCATATACAGGGTAAGCCTTTGAGGAGCAACACAGTGGGCAAGATGCCGGGACGTAAAAAAAAAAGATATTGACCGACGCAGGGATCGAACCTGCAATCTCTTGATTCGTAGTCAAGCGCCTTGCCATTGGGCCAGCCGGCCTTGTTGTCAGCTAGGCAGTATAATTCCCTACATCAGACAAGCTATCGATCCGTCCCAGGAGAAATTCCAGCTGGCGGTACGCGGCTCCCGGCGCGTACTGAGGTATATCTGTATGAAGTTAATCGCGGTCCACCACGTAAGAAGTCATTCCACTCACGATGCCCCGCCCCATACACAGAAGTAAAAGTCAGCCCGCGCTCCGTGTGCGCCGTACCCAGATAGCCTGCGCCTGCGTCCAGCGTTAATGGAGTCGGGGCGTTGCCGCTTCCCAGCTCAGCGAGGCCATAGTGGCAGGGAACGTAAAGTGGTTCCGTCGGCTGGTGGTGGAACCCCTGGGCGCCGTTCCAGGTCATGTTCTGGATGGTGACGAGCGATCCGTTCAAGAAGATCAGGTAGTCGAGCCATCCGTGTGCGATTATTGTGTTGTTCGTGCGCTCGATGACGCTCGGGAGGGGTCCGAGGGCGCTGGGGGGTGATGGATCGCCGTTGGGGAAGACCCCGTCTGCGGTGCATGCTGGGTAATCTGTTTGAGGAACGTGTAGGATCTGCTGCACGTCGGATCGGTTGAAGTAGTTGGATGGCCCCCCTGCGCGTGGGTTAAGGCCCGTCGTGTCCCAGAGGTAGGGGCAGAAGTCTGTTAGGTGGTACCTGTTGAAGCAGGGGTTGACGAAGAAAGCTGCTTGGACGATCTTGTCCCAGAGGTTGCAGCCGTTGGTGCTTGGGTCTGGGGGGGGTGGGAAAGTCGCTGGGTGGGGGGTATGTTAGGGCGCTGTCGAAAAAGGTGTTGAAACCACATTTCTCTGCGCGGCGAGTGATGTTTTGGACGAAGGTTTGGTTGAGTGCAAAGATGTTCTGGTAGTGGTTGAAGTGACTAACTACTGGGGCTGTGAAGAGCTTAGTATACTGCAGGGTATGGGAGAGATTCGCAGGTGAAATCAGCGACGTACCATGGATCATGACGGATTCCTCATTGATCATCGGGTCATTCAATTGGATTCCACGAAGATTGAAGTAATCTATGTCCTTCCGATCCAACATGTCAGAAGCAATGTAGGGAATGTATTGGCCGGCATAACTCTCTCCAATAATGTAAATCTTCCGCCCATGAAGGTCAAAAGTGTCCACAAAATTCTTGAACCAGCCGTTGAATTCTCGCGCAACATCTTGCTCATCAGTCACGGTCGACGGACCAGGAGAGAAGCCCGTCCCCGCAGGTTGATCAACATAGACCATATTCGTGAGATTCGCCCAAGAATAAGGGTTGGGAATAGGCCTGTATGTCCCAGGTCGCCAGATAAACGGGCCGTTTCCTTGAAGCATCCCTGTGAGTTAAAAACATCCTGGTCCACCATTGAGCCAGATCGTGATCTTTCACAGTTCTTCAATGTTAGTGACGATGTCTTCAGGCTGGTCAATTTGAATGTACCTCGTCTTTTGCGTCGGAATTCTGCGATGGGAAGAACCAGAAGAGGCTGGAGTTTCCGGCGGGTGTGTTTGGTAGAAGGCCGGCATATGATTCTCCCACATCGAACGCAACCTCCGGGATACTGGTCCCATTTACGAGGAATTCTTCTGTTTATTAGCGTTAGATAAGACATATCACAGCGAATGCCCTACCTCTCGTTTTGTCATTCAAGTTCTAGTAGCCGATATCACCGGCGTTTGTGTGAGTTACAGTCGGCAGTGCTCTCCGAATTGGCTGGATGGCTTTGCGATGGGGGTTGTCCAAGCATATTCCACTTTGAGCGAAGAATATAACAACAAGTTGCACTATCATAAACATCGTGGAGGATTATCTGATACCCGTATTTGAGAGTGCTGGGGTGTAATCATTCGCAAGGGCGGATCAGCATTCAACAACCAGTCAACGAAAGAATGCGCATGGGAATTGCAAAAAAATAGAAGCAGCAAGCTGTCAGCAATTATATAACTAATATTCTCAATCCATATGCAGCCTAGTAATTAGTAATTGTTCGTTCTCTCTGCTGATACATAAACAGGACCTGGCAAAGACATGGAAGCAAGGTGATGACCTTACAGCCCACGCTCGTCAGTTTAAAGCAGGGGTTAGGCTTAGTCCAGTGGTGTCTCAAAAGTGTCTTTGCAGATCTCCTCTATTGCCAATGTTACAGATATTCTTGTGCTAAGCCCAGTTCATTGTTGATAAAGCGATGGGTATCTCGCGGCCAATGCGAACAAATTGAGCCGTATACTTTCAGGAATTCGCAGATATAGTAGTATCTTCCCCTCCCCTTACCCGCATTTCCCACAGACACGGTGCATGCTGCAGGGAGTGAACAAATTGTAGTCGACATGGTATTTGTATGGATGGATGGATGCATTTCATCTTCTACATCTTGTGTATACTGTGTTTTCTGTCGGGCTTTGTATCTCAGTCTAGTCTATATTCAAGACTTGGCAAAGTAACAATTTTTGGCATGAAACAAAAGAAGAGCGACCTAGTCAGGGCTAACATACTGATCAGCAGATAAGTCACTTTGATCTGGCATAGTCAAAAAAAAAAAGCAGTGATTAGGGCTTATAGTCAATCAGCTGACTCGCAAGGTATTTCTTCTTGCTGTGTACTCTGCACATTTTGATCTTTCGTATCATCACTTACTGTTTCATCATGTCAACAGATTTATTACTCTTTAATGATTGCCATCTGCTACTCGCCACGATAAACGAAGGTCAATACAAGACCCCGGAAACTAGTAAGTGCAAAAGCAGTTGATGCGTTTTGAATGTCACAAACACAAACCCACAGACTTCACTAGCAACGTTCATCTGCTCCAATGACTCCCCGGGAGCTCGGGTGATCTCTTCATATGGCGTAATCTCCTCTGAGGTGAGACCAGAACCGTCGTGAATATTCACAAAAAAAAAGTTCTTGATATCAGCGGCCTTCAGTTGATGGAGCATGACCTTTGACGTGCCTAGGCCGTGAAAGGCAGGCTTCCTTGCACTTGTCGATAGGATGTATAGCCAAAATTCTTTCATCCATAGCTTTTCTTTAGCTATGAGATTTTAATCCCAGCGAATGACTGAGACCCCGGATAGCAATTTATGAACAGTTTGGCTACTACTTGCTGAACTGAGGATCTAGTTCTCGCTAATCGTGGTCTTTCTTGGTCCCTACTCAATCTTGTCCTTTGCAATCAGTGATCTCGTCTCTTTTCGGGGCATTTTTCGACGAGTCATATGAGTGTCTCACTAGATGGCATCTAGTAGGTTACCTGGTGTTACCTGGTTTGGGATTGGCAAATCCCCATTCACTTGTCCAGCAGCTACTGGTTCCACTCCGGGTGGAGCCTTGGGCTAGACACGGGGACCTCACTATTCGCTATCCTTTGGACAATTCAAGATACAAGCCACCCGCTCATCTGTAGTGCTTACGGCCAGATGCATGTTAGTATGGAAAGCCTAGGACCAAAAAGACACCAACAAGGCTTAAATCGGCTGATGATACATTGCATTCCCACTGTCATTACCGCTCTCACCCCCTTTTTCAAGAATCTCATCTGTCGTAGCTACCTGCCTGCCTGTCTGCTCGGTCAACACTTTCCCCAGATTGACCGGTCACCCTTCCCGCTACCTCTGCATTTGCATTGTTTGAGCCTCTTGCATGCTGAATTTTGTGTATCTACATTGAATTGACACCCATTTACATGCTCACTCCCTCGCACTACAAACCAAGCAGCCAAGCCACAAAGAGAGAGGCAAAGAGTCGACAGTCTTAAACCATGGCCCCGCAACCGCCCTCATACACCAAGGTCACTCATTCCGCCACATATGCAAGCATCGACCCCGCCCAGCCCGGCCTCTCCACGGCGGGCAAGGTTGTGCTGATCACGGGCGCATCAGGCGGCATCGGCCGGGCCGCCGCCTCATCCTTTGCGGCATCAGGACCCCGAGCCCTAATCCTCCTGGGTCGCCGCGCCGACGCGCTGGCAGAAACCGCCACGGCCGTCCGCGCCAGTCACGCAGACGTGCCGGTTCAAACCCACCCGGCGGAGCTGTGCGACGCGTCGGCCGTCCGCGATGCCATGAACAAGGCGGCGGCTCAGTTCGGCGGCATCGACATCCTCGTCCACTGTGCCGGCGTCCTGGCCCCCGTTGTTCCCCTTCTCGAGGCGGATCCGTCGACCTTTCTGGACGGCTACAAGACTACGGTGGTCGGGACGCTGGTGGCCGCCCAGGCGGTCGTCCGGGCAAATCAGTCTGTCGGCGCCAACGAGGACAAGCCCGTCACCTTCATCAATTTGACCACGGCCGGTATCTTGTTCCCCCCGTTCGCTGGGATGGGCGCCTACGTGAGCAGCAAGATGGCTGCCGTCAAGCTCCTGCAGTCCTTTGCCGCCGAGAACCCCTATGTGCGTCTTCACAATGTGCACCCCGGGTTCCTCAAGACGGCCATGTCGGCCAAGCTGGAAGAGAATGTGAAATTGCCATTTCCCTATGACGACAGTACGTATCACTTGATCTCTGCCCCTGCTCTAGGGAAGATTCTGTCTGTGCTTCCAAGCAACTAACGGTCTTTATTTGTTCTTTTTTTCTCGCGCAGTCTCTCTTCCCGCGGATTTCCTCGTCTGGATTGCCTCCCCCGAAGCAGCGTTCCTCAAGGATAAGATCGTCTTTGCCGCGTGGGACGTGGATGAGCTCAAGGATCGCAAGAAGGAGATTGTCGGTGGCCCGCCCGGGACTGGTGAGCTTGGGATCGGCTTCCAGGGGTTTCCACGATTTATGAATGGCCAGGCTTTGTCATAGGATAAACCATTCAAATGAGAATCCAGTCTTGGAGTGAAAGGTGTGATACTAAGACTTTATGAGAGTGTCAAACTAAACATTAGATTTGAAAGAATCTTAGTCATGGCGGACGTCGCGAGATAGTGGGCAACAGCAGATCCTGATCAGGGTTAGCATGATGCGCCAAGCCCGGTCCGGACGGACTAAAGCCAAATGTTAAATCGCACTTGTTTTGTCCTGATTAATGCCTTTGAAGTTGAGAGTAAGAAGGCCGAGGAGTGGGTGAGCAGAGCCATGCAAATCATAGCAAATACAATGACGGGTCGCCAAATCGATGGACCATCAACGTATTGAGCCTTCGGTTACTGTCGGCCAAGACACCCGGGGCAGAGAAAAGCGTGTACCAAGCAGGAATAGGAATAATATGGAGACTCCAAGCGATATAATATGGAGAATCAATCCACCCTGATTGTGGCAGTGTGTCCATCTTGGCAGGGGATCAGGCCTGACTTGGCAATTAGCATAGGAATATTCTTACTAATGATTCCATGAAACATATGCAGCAGGGTTCGGGGAAAGACGTTGGGGGAATTAATCGGACCAGACATACTAGCTATTTAATTACTATAAGGCTTGTTGGGCATGCCTCCCAGCTCACATTAGGACTGACGTTACCCTCGGGCCTAAAGGCAAAAGGGCTCTGTGGGCAAGTGCCATTTTTTTTACTTAATAGCCAGGCTGCTCAGCCTGGCTACTATTGATCATGCATAGGCAACACTGTTTCTATTGATAGGTTCCTACCCGATGTAATTAATTGACCTACTTTATATACTCATCTGCCATCTGCCCTTTCTGCTCGTTAATTAGTGAGAGAAATTGATTTCCCTTCCATCAGCTACCTACTTGATCAGAGGCAGTTATGTTTATTCAAACGCCTAGCCTTCTGCTATTGATGCTTGCCAACACGGCGCCATCTTTTGCGTCCGTTCACCCAGCCATCCTCAAGGTTTCCAATACAGATTGGAACGCTCTCAATGCAAGTGTTGAGGGTCGACTCGGTGTCTTAAGGCCTCTAGCGGAGCCTTGTTATCTGAAATACGACCCTAATGGTCAGACGTCGTTCCATACCCCTGACCTAGAAGCCTGCCAGATCGCACTGAAAAACAGGCGCAATGTGGAGTTCATCAGCTCTCAACCTGCTGCATATCACGATGCATTCTATGGGTCATGTATGACTGCGGGTCACGGATGCCCCCTCGCCAATTTGCCAGCGAATGACACTACCAATCCACTTCCGGGCACATGCTACCAGGGCAGCGTACCGGATTATTACATCGATGTGCGGAGCGTGCGGGACATCCAGGCGGGATTGGAGTTTGCTGAAGAGCACCGTATTCCCCTGGTGATCAAAAATACAGGGCACGACTACAAGGGCCGCAGTGCTGGACGTCATAGCTTGGCGATTTGGTACGTTGACGTCTTTCCTCATCCACTTTGATAGGGACACTAGGCATCATCTAACTTGTTGAACCTACTCGACTTTGCCCCGCTACAGGACACACAACCTCCAGCCTCCAATTCACTTGGACAAAGACTTCAAACCGGATGGTTGCGGAAAGTCGGTTGGTCCTACTCTAACATACGGTGCCGGCCAAGGCTTTGAGGGCATATATGAGTTTGCCCACCAACATGGATACATGGTATGTGCTACAGAGCTCTCTACTATAGAAGCATACTGGGCTTCTGACTAACTAGTTTCACAAAGGCAATAGGGGGAGCTTGTCCAACAGTGGGTGCATCCGGAGGATATGTTACAGGGGGCGGCCATAGTCTCCTTTCCCCGGTCCATGGTCTGGGTGTTGACAACGTCATGCAAATGAAAGTTGTTCTACCTAATGGGACATATGTCACGGCCAACCGCTGTCAAAACCAGGAGATCTTCTTTGCTCTCCGTGGAGGTGGCGGTGCCTCGTTCGGTGTGGTGACGGAAACCACGGCCCGTGTCTTTCCTGAGGTCCCCTTGCAGGTGAGCGAGCTTGTGCCATTGTTGACCCTCTCCCTCTGTCAATGCCGTTATACTAATGATAAATCTTAAAGATGGCAGTTATTTCGTTTGCATCCCCGTTGACCTCTAGGGAAGTAACAGCTCTCGCGGTGGATAACGGGGTTAAATGGGCTGAAGACGGCTGGGGAGGGTACATGAGCTCTCTGGGAGAGTCAACTAGTCTCATGCTGGCAGTAACGCCCAAGCTTACGCTCGAAGAAGCAAAACTGTCAATGAAACCACTGATCGACTTCGCCCGGCCCCGTAACAACGGTACCCTTCGCTTTGGGGTGGACGTGACGACCGTTGAGAGCTACTGGGAATTTCTACAAAGTCCTGCGATGCAATTCATCGGCGGTCTCATCGACGGAATTTCTGTTGCCCAGTCCTCCCGTCTCGTTCTGAAAGAAAATTTTGGAACGGAGTCCAAGCGACAGGAGCTCACAGATGTGCTATCAAACATGCCCTATGGAATCAACATGGTTGCACCTCTTGGATATGAGTTGCCCGAGTCAGACCAGCCAGGAGGTCCTGGAGAGGCGTCGGTCACTCCTGCGTGGGTGAGCAGTTCTCTCCCCCTTTTGGTCACGAGTTTTATCATTTCGCTAACATTGTCACTAACATTGTAAATAAACAGAGAGAGGCTGTCTGGCATATCATGTTACAGTCAGCTTGGGACACCGACAGCCAGAAGTCACATACCCCCGAATTTTTCGTCGAGCGCTTCAAAGAAGCTAGCGAGCTCGTGAGCCCGTTGCGCGAAATCACCCCCAACAGCGGTGCCTATCAAAATGAAGCCGATGTCTACGAGCCAAATCACATCGACAGCTTCTGGGGAGAGAAGAATTACGACCGGCTTCTCAAGATCAAGAAGGACGTTGACCCGAGTAATCTGATAACGTGCCATCAGTGTGTTGGGGCCGATTCGGATGATAGCCGTCTCGGTTGTTACCCGCAGATATAACCACATGCAACGAGTGTGAGCGGTGTTATTGATCAGCTCTGGCGTTAGCCTTGTTGAAGAATCATATTGGAACATGGGGACCTACATCAATTGGCATGTTGATTTAGTCATGTACTAGTAGCTGTAGAAATAAAAAGTGCATAGCGGGACACAGCTCAGAATGCGTATCTTACCATACTCTTGTTTTCTTTCATGCATATGCCAACCACAAAGCTAGATTGATATACACCATGGCGATCAACCAGACCCCGGGCAGGAGAATGTCACCATGGTACAATTTCCACTTCCCCTCTACTACGTTTAGCATATGAGCCCGCGAAGAGTCAGACTCGGCTTAGGAAACCATCGGTCTTTTTTTTCTTTTCTTTTATTGTTTCTGTGATGCACGGTTCACCTGTTTCGCCTCTTGTTCTTCGCGATCCGGCTGATGAGTTGGGTATCAAGACTGGGATTCCTCGTTCTAACTTTATTACCCAAAATATGGGGCAGGCCTGCACATATCGAGAAACGCTGTCCAAGGAGTCACGACAGCGTCGACGCCCGATTGACCAAAGCTATTGCTATCATGGAGGGAAGTCTGGTCCTGGTGGATTTTTCGGCAAATCTCAGTTGAGTTGCGCAGACACCATAGGCTTGAAGCCCTCCGCCGAGGCCAGCTGCCTGCTTGAGCTCCCCCCCCCCCCCCACACCACCCCCCCGCTTTGTGTCAGTAGGTGGGCGGGACAAGTCCGTTGGCCCCCAGCTGGCGTCGCAGATCGGGGCCAAAGTTCGCCGCGGAGTTGCTGGATGCCATATCCGCGAAGCTTCTCGCCGAGAGGAAACATTGCCCGGGTTGATATCTTCAACCACACTCAGATCTGTCAAACTCAAACTCTCGCTGCGGAGACCGCTTTCCCCGCACGGAGCGGCTCGCTGAACGGAATTTTCATCTTGCAGTGGACGGACCCAACCAAGGACGAAGAGTTTCTGTCGTTTGAGGCAGTCGATCCAGACGGCTTGTCAGGATGAGATGTGGAGGGCAAGACTGAAGCCCACGGACTTTGTTCAGAGCTCTATGGCATATATTGGGGGTCAGTAACTGTCCTCCTGCTTATATTGAAGGTCTAGTATAGGCACTGAACCCTGTGACAGATGAGCAGGTGGCACCGGCAGATATGTTCGGGGAGAATGCCGCTCGGCTGGTGGCGGTTAAGACGCAGTATGATCCGAGCATTGTTTTCCATAAGCTAGACCCCCTTGGTAATGTGTGTGGGTGAGTTGGATGTGGTCATTTGACTTTCAGACAGTCTTTGTTGTCTCTTCTGCGGACTGGTTGGCTGGCTTGATTGTGTTGGTTTGCTGCTTCTCGTCGGACATAGTGAGTATTGAATGAAGTGATTGCCTCGGCTAGGTATTGGCTTACTGACTCTATGTGAAGTTCTCATGCTTAGCTGGGTGCTTACATCCATCCTCCTCCGTTCTCTACTCCTCCAAGTTGACTTGAAGTAGGATATAGTCGATTGGTATAAACCCAGAGAGCGCTGATGCGAGTCATCCCCGGATAACTCCTCAAGTACTTCTTCAAGGCCTATACAGCCAGAAAGTACTGTTCTCCCTTCAACTATTCTGACCAGCCCAGCTCACCATACAGATACAGATCCGACCATACTGCCATCCACTGCGGCCTGAATGCCTGAATTAGGGTTTGTAGCGATGACGTCATCACAACACGTGGCATCCGCCACTGGCAGCTCAACAGACCATCAACCGAGAATGATAAAAGAACAGGTATATTTCCAGTATAATATCGAGAGGAAGGCGATGTAACTCGGTCCACTTCCTGTTCGTCTGGGCAATCCGCTCGGAACCACTCCGTGCGGGGAACAGAGTGGATAGCCGGTTCCAGCGTCCGGTGGGACAGATGATGTGTTGATAGAAGATGGATTTAGTGATTGACTGTGTGTGTTGTAGATACCGGCTCTGACTGAGCTGTCTAATACCCGAGTGTTGGAAGACCAGGGACTCGGTATATAATTCCAGTCTCTCTAAGATCAGTCAGTCTATACAAGATAATGGACAATGTCCGGAGGACTCCGTCTGCGATAAGATATGAACGACCGACCGAGACCCATCGGTAAACTCCAGAATTAACCGTTGAATAACCGTTGAACTGGTATACTGGAAGATCCTGCGAGGGAGGAGCATTTCGGCTGGTGAACGGGCCCCCAAATGCCGACGCACGGGCTGGAGCAGACGGGCTTGACCAACTATACTCCATCGCTCTCTAGCCCCTCCACGGAATGATGGAGAAAAGCGCCGGAGAAACTGCGAAATTCCTCCTCCACCCACAGCGTCGGTGGATGACTGAAACATGCCTTTCGACGGGATTGGTAGTCTTATCGCAGGTTTGTCCACGTCGATCGGATCCGGACATCTCCAACTGCCGATGTCCGTGTTGGATTGAACTGGATGGCCGTCTAGCTGGCGCTCTGCGCGGTGAAGATCATGGACGAGCTACTACCTAACTGACCAATTAACCAACCAACCAACCGAGTAACTAATGACCTACATATATATATGTATATCATACCGTCCGTCTTTCTGATCCATCCCGAGGCAATCAGACACCATGACGGTTACTTTCGCGGTGCTTCCGGATTCCGCGCTGTCCTACGCGTTCTACGCGGTCCCCTGCCTCCTCCTCTATCTCTCGCTCAACTATTTCCATAACTCTCTCCATGTCTTTCCCGGTCCCTTCTGGGCGCACTTCACGGATCTATGGCGCTATCTCGATGTAAAAGGGCGACGTCCGGAACGGACCCACATTGAATTGCATCGCCAGTACGGAGACATCGTGCGTCTGGGGCCCCGCACATTATCATTTGCGGATCCGAAAGCCATCAAAGTCATCTATGGCTTGAACAAGGGATTCACCAAGGTACACCCCCCACCAATCCCAATATCAATATCAGAATAGCCTCTAACAAAGACCAGTCCGAATTCTACCCCGTCCAAATGACAGTCTCCAAAGGCGAACCACTCCCATCCCTCTTCTCAACGCTGGACGAATCCTTCCACGCCAACCTCCGCCGCTCCGTAAACCACGCCTTCTCCATGAGCTCGCTAGTCCAGTACGAGCCCCTCGTAAACGAAACCGTGGAAATCTTCCTCGACCAAACCAGCCGCCTCTTCGCCGACGGCACCACAGTCTGCGACTTCGCGCGCTGGCTGCAGTTCTTCGCCTTCGACGTCATCGGCAGCATCACCTACAGCAAGCGCCACGGCTTCGTCGAAAACAACCACGACGTCGACGGCATCGTGCAGTCCCTCGCCAGGATCTTCGACTACTCCGCCCCCGTCGGCCAAATGCCCTGGCTCGACAAGCTCCTCTGGAAAAACCCCATCTTCGACCTCCTCCAGAAACTCAACCTCGCGGATAACTCCCACCCCGTGGCCGTCTTCGCCAAGCAGCGCATGCAGGAGCGCCTCGCCGCCAAAGCCTCACCGGCGGCCGGTGCGGGCTCCCCCAAAGACGACCTCCTCACAATGTTCCTCAAAGCAGGCGAAGCCCGCCCAGACTTCATGACCAACAAGCGCATCCTCACAATGGCGGTGTCCATGGCCTTCGCGGGATCCGAAACAACAGCCATCAGCATCGCCGCCGTCTTCTACTACCTCTTAAAAACCCCCTCCTGCATGGCCCGCCTGCGCCAAGAACTCGACGACGCAGTCGCAGCCGGCACTATCGACAACCGCCCAACAGGCCTCGTCTCGTGGACCGAGTCCCGCAAGCTGCCCTACCTCGACGCCTGCATCAAAGAGGCGTTCCGTCTGCACCCTGCGGCAGGATTACCCCTCGAACGCGTCGTCCCCGCCGCCGGGGTCGAAATCTCAGGGCGGTTCATCCCCGGGGGCACGATCGTGGGTTGCAGTCCGTGGGTGATCCACCGGAGAGAGGACATCTTCGGTCCTGATACGGAGAGCTTTGTTCCGGAGCGGTGGCTGAGTGCTGAGCCGGAGAAGCTGAAGGCGATGGAGGGGAAGATGCTGCAGTTTGGAGCGGGGTCGAGGACGTGTATTGGGAAGAACATTTCTCTGATGGAGATTTATAAGATCGTGCCGAGTTTCTTACGCCGGTTTGACGTGAGTTTCTTTTTCCCTCCCTCCTTTCTTTCTCGCTCCTTTCTCTTTCTTTGATAAGTATGAGTATGATGGCATCGCTAACCTTAATATGATGACAGGTAAAACTCGCCCACCCAGACCAAGAATGGAAGCTCTGGAACGCGTGGTTCGTGCGGCAGTATAACTTCAAGACGTGTTTCACGCCGAGGGAGATCGCGCCATGATATTTATGCATTATAATGAAAACGTGTCCTGTCCTGCATATATAAAAAATACAGATATTGGTTTGGGGAAAAAAGAAAATACAGGTTAGATTCTCACTAGAGGGATGAGGTTTACTGTGCCTTGGGCGGTAGTTTAGAGTTTGGCTTGGATAGGCAATGCGGATTGTCTATCTATCTGGCTATCTGTCTGTCTATAGTCCTTCCGATGAAGAGACTGGTCATACGTGTTTATGCGTGTGGTTGCTGGCTAGTAAGGAGACGAGCTACCCCTACGATTTAAGAGTTATGAATAATATACACGTTGTTTATAATACAGTATAGCATGCATATATTAGGATTATCCAGACTACTTGTAGTCTCTATCTAGGAACTCAGCTCAACACGTCCGTTCTACTCGGGGTAATATCAAAATGCAAGTCTCGTCAAGAGTCTTAAAAGACCGGTACATATGTATAGTATATATGTATGGAGGTTGTATGTATGGTGAGTGAAATAGGGGATGGTAGGGGAGTGCGTGCGCAGTGTGCACGCTGTATACACAAATCAGGGGATGGACAGGTGTATGGACAGTGAAATTAGTTTACAAGCCCTTGAGTTTGGCGTCGTTATGCAGCAGCATATCGTCGCTGGGGACGTCGTCAGTCGACGACGGCGACTGTTGCTTTTGCTGTTCCGGGGTGGAGTCACCCTCAAAGTCACCCTCGGCTTCAGGGTTCACCTTCTGCTTGGAGATACGGCGCTGCCAGCGCAGTAGCACAGGAAGGAAATGCCACAAATCGAACTCGGGCCACATGACGTCTAGGAAGACAATCTCCGTGTTTTCATTGCCCTGCCAGAGCATGAAGTCGCTGAGGCGCTCGACGCCCGACGTGCGAATGAGTAGGTCCAGCGGCGGGTTGCCCTTTGTGTAGAGGTGGTCGGAGATGGTCTGGCTGGTGATGGTCTCGGGGGACTGGAATTTGCCGCTTGTGTTGTTGTCGTTGTCGTTGTCGTTGTCGCTGTTGCCCCCGGCGGCGGCGGCGGCTTTGGCTTCGGCGAGGTGGAGGGTTGTGGAGGAGGAGAAGGATGAGCCGGTGCCTTCGTAGACTTTGCCTGGTGGGGACGATGGGTGGTCGTCCTCCACTTCACCCCGGGTGGAGGATTCAGAGCCGGACTCGATGTCGCTGGGGGTGTCTTCTGCTGCTGTTGCTTGGGGCTCCGGCGGGGACTGCGACTGCGCTTGGATCTTGAGCGCGATGTGGGACTCGGAGAAGGGCGAGCGGACGCTGCCTGTTGAGGCGTGCACGGGCTGTAGTGGTGTGCTGTATTCTGCGACGGTGTCGCGGACGGCGCCGGTGATCTCGTCGCGCGAGGTGTACGGGAAGCAGATGTTGAGGACGCAGTTGCCGTTGCGGCTGGTCATTTCGACGGCCTTGGTGAACGCCGCGTGGACGTCCGGACGGAGTAGGTCCATCCGCCCTAGCACTCTCACTTGTGCGCCGTACCGATCCAGGATGTCCCCGTGTTGTGCCAACTGGCCGAGCTTGACGCGGGCCATTTCCATCAGGGCGTCCACCTCGAATTTGGATCGCTTGAAGTTCTCGATGCTGAAGGCGTAGATCGTGACCACCTTTACCCCACTCCGGTAGCTGACTTCTAAGATCTATCCGCCAGACAATATGGTCAGCATCTTGTCCATGTGTAACCACACACCCCAAGCATCGTAACAAGATTGGAAGAAAGAAAGAAAAGGTAGACTAACCCGCGCTAATGCCTCAAACCCCAGGTTGTGGCCCTCCACCGTCTCGATCCGATGTGACCGAGCAAATCGTCGGTTACCATCCATCACGAACGCGACATGCTGTGGAACTGGTCCCTGCCGGATGGCGCCCACCAAGAGATCCCGCAGTTTGGAAATGGCGAACTCGATCGGTGGAGACGCGACGATCCATTTTCGGAGACGCGACAGGTGCATGGATGTCGCCATGGTATAGAAAAAGAAACGAACGATCGCTAATGTACTGGACGCTGGCTGGAAACGAATAATCAAGTAACTGGACGGGTGGTGTGGTTTTCGCAGGAAGAAGACCGATCGGAATAGGAGGTATAGGAACTAAGTTGGCTAGATAAAATCCGTCTGTCTTTCACACAATGTACGCCACTCGGGGGCCAAGAGACACGACAAGAGCGAAGATCCTTCGTGGTAAGGCTGTGTCCATCAGGCTGCCGTGTTTCGTTGAGCTCTTTGAAGACTGATGTTCCAAGCGTTTGCGGGGATAGGTGGCAAATCGATCGAATGACAGGATCGAGAGACGGCCGACTGGGATCTGCTGGTCCAGAGGAGAAGCGACGTGGAGTAATCAAGAGTCGCGAGTGGAGGAGACGATGAGCAACGTTACCAGTTACCAGCGCACAGCGTGGAGTCGGATTCGGAGAACGGGGAAGAATCACGGGCCAAATCCTCCCCCGGAACCAGCACGGTCCGAGGAGCTTCTTTTGATATCACCTGCTTCTTCGTCTTCCAATTAATTCAATCTTTCAATTCTCGCTTTCGGGTTAGAAATACTTTTTTGAAACTCTAGAGACTAATTGCTACTCCATTAATTTTTTCTTTCTTTTCTACTCAATCCAGTCTCGTTGGCTACTCGTTTTCTCGTGCGTCATCATCCTCGGTACCCCTCGCTGGCACACATCCATTACATACACAAAACATTCAACGCCAAACACCGCCGCTAGTACGGATATATAGAAACAAAGGTCAAAGGGGAAAGGGAAAGGGATAGATAAACAGGGAATAGGGAAACAGAGAAAGAAAAGGGGGTCATAAATAAAAGTGAGGTGGGTGGGAAGGGAAGAGAGAGGCAAAGAAGGAAAAAGGAAGAAGAAAGAACTTATTACAGATCCTTTCGTCCCTCCTCACTCGACGGAGTCCCTGGATCGGAACTGATCGCACCCCGGCTGACACTGTCTTCACTTTGTCGGCGTCGACGGGCCCCGCGTTCCCGCATGGCATCTCGGATCTTCGCACTGACTTGGTCGAATTCGCCAGTGGAGTTGATCTGGCTCATGGCTTTCAGCTGTTGCCCCGATGATCCCGGCCGTCCGCCAAAGGAGCTGCTGCGACTGTGGCTGTAGCTGCGGCTACGGCTGCGACTGGGAGGCCGCGTTGAGAAGAAGCCGATGTTGGCCAGGTTGTGGAAGGACTCGTTCCGAGGGAGGGGTTCCTTGGTCGTCGAATCCTCTTCGTGTTCGCTCGTGCTAGCCCGCTTGAGCTCCGGCACCGCGGCTGCCTCTCCCTCCTGCTTCGTCGGTCGGTCCCGTTCACGGAAGGGGTCGGAGACAACCCGGGCTGCGTCGAAGTCGGGGAACAGCTCCGGACCGAGCGTGTTGATGGCCTCGGTCACGTGTTGTGCCAGTGCAGCACGCTGGTGGCGGAGTCTTACAAGGCTGTTGGCGGAGGAGGGGTTCAGGGAGAGCACCAGGGGCGGGAGGGACTTGACGATGTCCATCCCGATCTCGCCGATCCGGAGGGCCGCAAAAGTGATGGCCGGGAACAGGACCATGGCGATCGGCACAATCAGCCACAGCGGCATACTGGAAGGGAGGAGCCCTTGGATTCGATTACGGTAAGCCCAGTAGGTAAAGGCCGCAGCATAGAAGGCATAGAGCGTGGGGGCAAATGCAAGGGCGACGAGGAGCTTCCAGGTGGCCATCACATCCCGCCCCTGCAGCTTCACCGTGGACGCCGCCAAGGCTTCTTTCGACTTTTGGATCGAGATCACCTTGGTGACGATGAAGACGGGCGTAAACAGGAGCAACCCCGGAAGGGTCCCTATCGTAAGAAAGACTAACTGAAGGAGGCGGCCGACCAGGGTGCCGATCACCCGGAAGAACGAGAACCTCGCATATTCCACCTGGTGGTCGCGGATCCCCAACAGACGCAGCTCCCGGTTGTAGTCCGCGATGGATTTCTTCAGGTAGACAATCCGCGGGTCATCCTTGAAGTGGGCGTACCCCTTTACAAGACGGCGATTCAGCTCCACGACCATGGGCAACGGGAGCTTTTTACCCCGGATGTTATAGAGACGGCGGGCCGCTTGGATTGCCTAGACAAGGGTTAGCTATAGCCCCTTGCATCGACTGAGCGTTCCACGAACCATTAAAGTGTCGTAATCCGGGCTCGTCACGGTGACCGCACCAAGGGCCTGGTATATAAGGTCTAAAAGCGGGCCGACCGCTTCGCGCCGTTCTCCCTTTCTATACAGATCTACGAGTTCCTTGGGTATTTCGATCGGGGTGCCAAACTCAATGACGGCGCGCGAGCGGAACTTGTGGGCGTGGAAATAGTTCATCCCGCAGGGAACGATCTTCAACCCACAGTCGGGGTTGTCGGCCAAGGTACCAAGAGCCATCATGGCCACGCCCGCTATGAACTGGGTTAGCCGATGCACGCTAAAGATCTCAAAAAACAAAGGATGAAATCACCTTTCAAAGGCAACAAGGTGGTCCGATCATGACTGCCCCCTTCGGGAAAGATGCCAATACAGCCACCCGCGTTTAACCGAGCAAAGACGGCATTGTAGACGGCCGTCTGGTCCACGTGCGGCGACACCTTGAACTTGGACCCTTTGAAGTCGCCGAGGTCCTGATCGGCGACGTCGCCCGTGAACTTGCCCTCGTCCGAGATGTCCGTCCGCCCCGTGAGTTGGAAAAGAGCGTCCTTATGCGTGAGTGGCTTTTTCAAGACCAACTCCTCGGGGCCGTGGATCTCCGCAATGGTTCCATTGTGCGATACCCCGTTGATGGTAGGCAGCGCGATCGTGCCGTCCTTCTCATAGCCCGGGCCTTCGAAGTCGGTGCCCACCCCGCGCACCAGCGTGGGCTGGTTGACGGGGTCGGGCAGATAGATCATGCCCTTGCCCGGCTTCATGTTATCCATCGCTCGGCTGACTGGAACCGTGCCTATGCCTCGGGCCAACATGCCAATAAACTTGCGGCGGAAGGATTTCTCTGCGATGAGCCATGAGATGCGGCGATGGGCTTCGCTGCGCAACACGCGCATGAGGATCAACGAGTCGACGAACTAGTTTGCGGGCACAGTCAGCGGACGGATCCCAGCGAGGATGAACTAGAGATCAATCAAAATAAAGCCCAGCGTACCTGATTCGCATGAGGAGCAGCGACCAGAATCATGGGACCCTTGCGGGGGATCTTCCAGGAACCGCGGGGATGGACCTCCCGGAAGAAGAGGTCGACCAGCACGGAAAAGGTCCAGAGGACCAGATCATATAACCACCCGATCAAGGGCGGGATGCGCGGTTGGGTCGGCATTTTGTTGTTTTCGACAATGCCCGGATCAAATCCAGACCTAGTGGGTAGACAGATGGGAATGCGCCGGTCGGAGAAGGTGAGAGACGACCTGGGGAAGCGAGACTCGAGGGGAATGACGCATGAGCATTGACCTGTGCGGGAAACGAAAGACGTGTTGGTCAATTGATGGGTCGTGTGGGGAAGGATTCATGAATTGTACGAATCTCTTACCGATGAGGATCTCAAAGAGACTCAATATGGGACGATAAAAAGTCCGACATGAGGGGGAGGGGGTGTGGGCGTTTTTCAAGAGTTTATTTTTTTCTCAGTGAGCAACACGAGGTCGAAATATTAAAAAAGTTGTTAGTAGACTGTCATTTTTCTGGCTAGTGGGGACCTCTCCGTTTGTAACGATGTAATGGCCGATCATAGCTAACTGGTTTGGGTCAACCGTCCATCCGCACACAGGGGGGACGCACTTACAGCCTAGATCTTCTTCCATCTAATCGTAACTTAGTTAGTGAAATCATTCACACACGCACTGATATACTCCCACCACGGCATTGCCATCAAATCTGGACAAGAGCACGGACCAGATACAGCTATCTGTAGCTTACCAGCGCAACAGTCCTGTATCGTATTTTACACAGGGACCCTTCTAGAACCACGGCCACTGGTCTCTATATCTGGTCTCAATATAGCGTCAGTATTGTATTGGGACAATCAGGACATTCTAGGCGTACTTAATAGAAGTCACCCAAACCTCAGAGTTGAGATGGTTGACATGGTTGAGATCAGAGTCATGACTGATCCCATACAATGCTGTACTCGAATGATGTCGTTGTGGTACTGTGATGGACTCACGGTGTTGACCAACTTCTTGGATTCAGAGGCTGGATTGTCTTGGAGTATCGTGTTTGTGGACAGAAGACAGTTCGGTTTCCCACTGTTGATCGTGCTGTATCAACATTATATTACATGCCTGATATATCAGGTGTTCAGGCAATCAGGCTGTAGATCTCGATCAAGCAGTGGAAGTCTGAGAACATTAGAAGAAAATATATATAAATATATTTGATACGTATTGTATATACTAGTTAAATATAACATTTATATATCTAGATCATCAGTCGTGGTAGTATCAATCAAATGGTACATGATCAACCAGGTTTCAACTCTACTGCTGGCCCGCTTACCATCCGTTTCCTCCCTTTTTTAAGGCCTCCACTTCCAACCCCGCGCTCCCCCAACGGTCATTCAACTGCATAGACACTGACAGCCCTGATCACCATCCCAAGGATTTCTTCCTAGTTCCTTTCGATACATTTTATTGATCCCATCGTTGCGGTGCAGTGGATCATATCCAATAGACATCCTATTCCACTGCAGATTACACTAGTCGTGCATTCCAATCAGGCGGACACTGCAGTATATCTATCTACCTATCATCCCACCACTAGACTTCTACTACCACCACCACCACCTCGCTAGTACCTAACCCAACCTACTACCCAACTTTGTTTTTTCTTCTCTAATTCTAGTCTTCCTGACTGGTCTATCACTCGTCCTAATTACTCTTCCATGCTGCTGTCTGTGGATCAAGCACCTTTCCCTATTCGATCACCCACTGTCTCCGGTGGTAGACTCAGGCAAGATGTCGGTCAAGTATGTGAATAACCCCTCCTTACCCACCGCCGAACCTTTCTTATCTATTGCTGTATACGGGCCTGGCTCTCTCCACTGTCGCAACTGTCTCCCATTTGGTGATGTTCGGATTGTGGTTGGGTCAGATCGCACGATTCTTCCCTATTCCGCCCCCTTGTTCAGATTGATATCGGGTTTTCCGTGTCCATTCAAAACACATGCCTTGATACCCCTCCACAATGCATCCACGTCACTCAGTCCCTGGTTCTTTCTCCCACCCCGGATGAAACCATCCGGAGTGAAATACTACCCAGATTCTAACCATCTCCAACAGCTGGGTGATGCTGCAAGAGCGTGACGGCTTCGTCCGCCTCCCCAGAGAACAATCCGTATATGCATCTCCCCCGCGGACAAGCATCTCCCTGCAACAGCTCGGGTCGAGCTCCGGGAAGGATGCCTTTTCCCTCCAAAGCAGCAGCGGTCAAATCTACCTAACGAATCAGCGGGTAAGTGGTCCCCCGTGACATCTCTTGCCCACGCGCTCGACTCGACTCTGACGACTACCCAGGTGGTCTACATCCCGGCTCAGAAGTCGGATGAATTCCAATCATTCTCGGCCCCACTTCTCAACGTCCGCGACAGCCATGTTACGGCCCCATTCTTTGGCCCCAATGCCTGGGTGGCTCTGGTCCAGCCCGTCTCGGGCGGCGGGATTCCTCCCGGGCTGCCCGCTATCCAGATCAAAGTCACCTTCAAAGAAGGCGGGGCGTTTGACTTCCACAACCGCTTTGAAAGGATCAAAGAGCGTCTGGAGCAGGCGGTCGAAGTCTCGCGAGAGAGCGCACGCGGCTCCACCAACGTGGACATGTCCACCGTCCATCTGGAAGAGCTCCCCGCTTACTCTGCGCCGGCCAGCGAGGCAACGGGCGCGAGAGCACCAGCATATGACGCACCTTCGTCGACCTCGCAACATACCCGGGTAGCTTCCGAAACGGGACCGGAGTTCATGGAGCCGCCGCCGGGCTACGAGGAGGTGCAACAGCAGAGTGTGGCTAATGAGCTAGAGGAGCGATTACGCCGTACCACATGAGGATGTATTTCGGGGTGGAAGTATCATTCAAGGTCTATTCTGTTCCTGAATTTCTCAATCCTTGAGTTGATTTTCTTCTATATCCCTTTTCCTCTTATCCTTTTCCAATTTCTCGATTTTGTTTCCCTTTTTTGTGCCTGCCGTCTCCAAGCAAGTCCCAGCAAGCCTGTTGATAAAAAAAATCCAAATCTGTACAGTATTAATCAATTTAACAACAATCCATTCACTACCATATCAAGTTCTAAATTGTATATACGGATACATAAGTATATAAAAAATAAAAATAAAATAAAAAGTATAAGAACGAACCACATTGCCGCATTAGTAAAGGCCCCTTCCGAAGCGCCAGCCAATCACGTGTCCGACAATTGAGCATTCGCCCGGCGGCCGGGGTGTTCCGATTTTCCCAGCTTCGTCAAAACCGCTAACTTGCACCCTCAAAACCAACCTCATCCAACTTGTTGGCCCTGTTGAACCCTCCCCACCGCCACCACCGACCACTGCCCACCTCCAGTCAATTCAATTGATACTTCCACACGGCTCACAATGGGTTTCACCGACTTTTTCTCCGACGTGATCTCGTCGTTCGGCCTCCCCGAGGCCCAGGCTGAGGCGCCGCCCGCCGACACCGTCCAGGAGACCCCCCAGGCGGAGGATCCCAAGGCGGACGCCGCTGAGAGTGAGGAGCCTGCCGAGGAGGCCGCCGAGGAGGAGGCCCCCGCTGAGGAGGCTGAGGAGGAGGAGGCTGAGGAGGAGGAAGAGGAGGAGGAGGAAGAGGAGGAGGAGGAGCCCGAGGATATCAAGCCTCAGCTCGAGGAGGGTGAGTTTTGCCTTTCTTCCCTACTATCGCAGTGACGCTTGGCTCCATTCAATTGCCAATTGGTGTCTTTCCCACGGTTTGAGGAGGTGAGTTGTTCAATGGCTAACGTGAGGGATAGAATGCGCCAACTCCGCCCACTGTGCGCCCGCTAAGCACCACTACGACGAGTGCGTCGAGCGTGTAACCCAGCAGCAGGAGGATGAGGACTACAAGGGCCCCAAGGAGGACTGCGTTGAGGAGTGTGAGTATTCCCACTTATTCAGTGTTCTCCACCATGCACACCGGCCTCTACGTATACAGGTGTACTAATATCATGATAGTCTTCCACCTCGCCCACTGCGCGACCCAGTGCGCCGCCCCCAAGCTGTGGCGCACCCTGAAATAAACGAATCCATATCCTCGACGGGCCTGATTCCACCTCCCTTCCAATATGATAGTTCCCCCACCATGAAGCCAATGACAAACCGGATCGAATGAACGAAAGAAAGAAAATATAAACCTGTTGGTGTTGGTCCTGGATAAAGTACAAGTATACAAATAAGCGACAGTGGAGAGGACGGAGGCACGGAGGCACTCGAGTCACGAGATAGAATGAAGGGGAGAGGAGGGGAATAGGCATGGCATATTGACATTGTCTTGTGGTGCCTTTTTCTTTTCCTTTTCCTCTCTATTATTGGTTCCTTTTTGTACGTTTTATGCGTTGTGTTTGAAGAAAGACGGAGATGTGGAGATGTGGAGAGATGTGTGGTGATAGAGTGAATGGGTGCACCCATTCCATGATGTGTATTGTACAGATATCTAGTCGGGTTTGTCTTTGAACTGTGCTTAATTTCTTTTTTATTATCTTTTTCTTATCTGTGGTTTAGAAATGAATGTTCTGTCTAGACTTGGGTCCCGATGGTTTTAACTAAGCCTATTTTGTCCTCCTAAAGTATCAGATGTCTTCCCTGCTCGTCGTTGAGCCACGGTTTGAGCACCGAGCATGGTGGATATGTGTGTACATACATATGTACCTTAGGTAGGAGGTAACTAAACATGTATACCTCTACAACTTCGATTCTATAGCTAGAGAAGGTCAAGATTCGAATCTTACTCGAGCAGAAATGAACTACCCGCAGCATTCGTACACATGTATATACCATGTAGTTATAGGCCACGATAAACAAACAAACCCGACATATCACCTTGAACGAATCTATTCTCAACTCGAGCTATTCTATGCCAAGTGCAGCCTGATGGTTCCGACCTTTCCTCCCGTTTGGAGGGTTGTAACCCACTGGCAGAGGTCAGGATCCTCCAAATGACTGGTTCTCTTATTCTATCTAGCCTTGTACCTACTACGTATTCTGGGCTCTCTGATTCGACTACCCTCGTCTTCTTTCTTTACAACCCTGTGTTGTTCCTTCGTTGTTTGCTAAATGTCTTGTCTTGCCGATTGTGGCGAGAATTGGCATGGGTGTAGTAGGCAGGGATTATGTCTATTCATCTTCTATATCCTCATACATAGGGTCAATGTAAGAAGCAAAGTGCAATCCATTGAAACATTAGATACTAGTAATATAGTAGAAATCAAACTATTATTTACATAGAATAAATATATATAATGGTATCATATAGAGTCAATCATCATGACCCACAAAAAGCCAGTCCAATGCAAAATGCAAACCGGAATGAAAGTATAAAGAACAAAAGAAAAAAAGTCCAAAGAAAGAATCCCTCAAGGCAATTCACTCGGCCTCGTATTTTCATGCAACTCAAACCTCTTCGCAGCATTGTGACTCTCCAACTCACTCGGCCCCTCATACCCTGGATACGCCTTCACAGGCGCCTCGGCAACACCGCCCGTTGGGATAGGTTCGAACCCGGGGGGCGCGTTGCTGTTGCTGGTGTCGGGCTGCATGCCGTTCTGGCGACGACGGCGGCGGAGCATGAAGAGGACGGCTACTATGATCAGGACGACGCCGGCTACGCCGCCGACGACGCCGCCTGCGATGGCGCCTGTGTTGTTGGGGGTTCCTCTGGAGCTTTGGGGTTGGGAGTTGGGGGCGTGGGGTCATCCGGCTTGGGGGGTGATGTTGGGGAGGGGGCTGGTGTTGGGGAGTATAGGGCTGTGATAGTCATGTTAGCACTACCTTATCCCACCTAGTATACAGTATCACCTAGCGAATCATCGCCGAGACCAGTACCAAGGGTAAAAAAGGTCAAGTACTGGAGGCTGTAGGTAAAAAGACTCACTCTGCTCAGCAGGATTAAGCAACGTCCTCAAATTCGACCCGGGATCCCCATCCGAACACCCCACAGAGCCATTATGGCCCTTCTCGGCCGTCCAGAACCCAGACTGGTCCTCGAGGCAGCAGAACATGCCGTCGCTCTCGAACATCGTCCACGACTCATCCGCGCAGTGCGGTTTGGGGTCGATGAAGTTCGCGCAGTTGGACTCACCGGGACAGCAGAACGAGTTCGGCGCCCCGTTTTCGTACTCGAAGCATTGGGAGGTGTTGGGGCAGCACGAGAGGAAGCCGCCCCAGGTTTGGTAGCATGGGTTTGTGCCGGAGGGACAGGAGTCTTTGGCGCGGAGGGCGAAGCCTGCGTTGGGGGGGTCGTAGTTGAGCACCATTTTTTATTCTTTTTATTCTTTTTCTTCCTGATGTTTTGGCTGGCTGGCTGGCTGACTGGTTGATTGGTTGATAGATGTATATGTGGTGAGGACCACTGGTGGTGGTGTGGTGCGTCTACGACTGGAAAGGATAATATGAGATGAGAGATGCGACAGACGAAATGAAGAGAAAGGGAAACGAGGGAAATAACACTCAAGGCAGAGGTCAGCTAATTTGTTAGCAGCAAGGCTGAGTTGGCGTTGATCTTAACCTATTTGAAATAATTCTATACAAACTTTACAGGGGAATAGTCAGGCGTCCAGCACTAACTAATCGATACTACAGTATGTAAGTTTCATCCTGCCGACCCGATCATGGCCGGTCCTACATAACTAACTAGCTATCTTAAGTCTGAATATAAACATACTTTGCATACATACTTACATACATAGGTACACATACATACATACCTATTCGGGAATATGGTATGTCGACAGTAAGTTATAGCAGCCCCTATCAGGGATCGATGCGGGGTGCCAGGGCGCCTAGTGGAGCAGATAGATGAGATGAGGCTTGAGATTGCGGTGGTGATAGGAGGGTTGAGCCAACGTTCGGACTATAATTTTATACCTAGTATTCTACCAGTCTTCACAAATCAACCAACCACTGGATATTGGGAGACAGAATCTAATCTTGATATTGAGTTCTGTAAAAATACGAGTTAAAAATATCCATACCGCTCCTAACAGACAAATCATCGTTAGAGCCGAGCTAGAGCCATCTAGGGCTGACAGCCTGATTCAAGTAGCCGATTATATCATCCTTAGCCAACCCTTCTTGACGTGGTTAGATACTTACATACTGGCGATTACTCTAATTCAGCCTCTATCAGTCTTTATTCTCGTATGACTATCTCTGAATATGCTGTTCCGTCTTGCGGTGTGGAATGGCCTGCGCTACTAAGGGGTTGTTTATTCTGCTACGATCTAGATTTGCTAGCTGCACGCTAGTATGGAACTAATACTAGAGTATACCGGAGTGGATTTTACGGGCGCGTGCCCCTTATCAACAACGGCAACGGCTGCGGAGTGCATACTGGATGAAATTAAAGTATTGGAGTTGTGCAATTCCATACATGTGCGTGTAGTACGGGGGGGGGGGGGGGGGGGTAGGAGGCAGGTATGTACATCAATCATACGCGTGTCGACATAGACAGTCCATCATAGACGGACTCGAAATAAACATTAGAAAAAGAACAACAAAACAAACAATCATTGGGTATGACAAGACAGTAAAAGTTGCATGGCACGGACGTAAAAGAGATAGAGGGACAGAGACAGATCAAGAGAGAAAATCAATTCTTCGTCCAGATATCGAAACGAGACTTCGACTCCGTCGGGCCCGTCGTCTGGGCCGCCGAGTCAGCCTCGGCACGCTCAGTGTCGTCGTCAATAGCGGTGCCACAGTCGACGTCCAAGCGGCGACGGCGGACATCTCTCCCGAAGAGTCCAATACAAATGGGGAACGGGGCGGCGACGGTGGCGATCACGGCGGAGAAGATGAGGGCGTTGCGCATGTGGCCCGGGGGGCTGGCGCCGGGGCTGGCCTTGAGAGCGTCTTGGATAAGGATGAAGATAGCCCCGAGCAGCTGGCCGCCGGTCCAGCAGATGGTGCTGCCGATCTCCGGGGAGAACGGGTAGGTGATCTCGACGAGGTATTCGAGGGTGACGGGGAGGAGGCCGAAGGAGGCGGCGCCGAGGAGGGCGCAAACGATGTAGCTGGGGGCGATGCCGGCGGGGCTGGACGGCGCGAAGATGAACCCGATATAGGTGGCGGCGATGATGGGGACCAGCGTGCGGATCGCGAACAGGTAGTGCTTCCAGCGGTCGGTGATCGGGGAGAGGATGGCTGAGCTGATCAGTCCGACGACGATGAGGATGCCGCCGGCGATGCCAGCGTCGGTTTCACTGAAGCCGTGTGGTTCGAGGATCTGGTTCAGTAGCGACGACACGCTGTTGAAGAACCCCACGTATACGGCGAAGGGGATCAGGATGAGCCAGAACTCGAGGGTCTTGAGAAGCTGCGTCACCGCGGGGAGGAGCGGGGTCTTGGCTGTCGAGGCGGATGCGCTGGGCGGGGTGGGCGGTCTGGACGGGAGGAAGAACGAGGGGATCGCTGCGACGGTGGCCTGATGGGTTCTTGTTAGAGAGACGGTTTTGTCCTCTTGAGGGGTCATGAGCTTACCATGACCGAGAGCCAGAGCACCATGTCCGGCACCTCGCTGGGCTTGGTCGCCCAGAACGAGTTGATCAGTTGGCCCAGCGCCGCGCCCAGTGGATTAGCGAGGGTCGCGAGGGCCGTCGCGCTGGTGCGACCCTTATCGGAGAACCAGAGGTCGCTGTAGCGGGTGGGGGCACTCAGGCAGAAGGGTTGCGACAGCCCGATGAGGATCTGGCCGAACATGGCGACGCCAAAGATGCCGCCGCGGGCGCGCGTACCGGCATATCGGATCCAGTTGCCTGCGAGAAGGAGCGCTGAGGTGGTGATGATGGCGGGCTTGGGGCCGCCTCTGTTGAGCGTGAAGATGACGACGCTGACCGGTGAGTGAGTAGACTTCTCTGACAGTATGACGGCGATGATACTCACGGACTAGCGACACAAAAGGCAAAGAGATAGCCCGTGCTCATCCAGTTGACGGCACTCTCCGAGACGCCGAAATGTTCGGCGGCGGTCGTGGAGATGGCCGAGAAGGTCAACCACTGCAGACAACCATCAATCTCGCGTCACGTACGCATTCCGTGACAGAGAGGGTACATACATCCCAGCTCACGACAACATTCAACAGGACCAGCTGAGCGAGCCCCAAGAACCGCCGCTTGTAGACCCTATAGACGGGCCCCGTGGGTGGTAGATCCGGGGCGGGGTCTTCAGCACTCCGAGGCGATGAACGGAAGAAGACCATGATGTGGGACCGACACGAGCATGGAACACTCACGACAGGCAACCCAACATGGAATCACACAGAGGATCGAGTCAGGACAGAAGTAACAAACAGAGACGGTTGATTCAGGAGATAAATGATAATCTGTTTCCTGTTAGCGACCGAATTAGCGGCATCGCTTGGACTCCTCTGTCCGCGAATGAGCCCCCGTCGAGGCTTGGATAGGAGATTTAAGAGACCGGGAATTGGTTCGCATTCAATTACTGGGGGGGATCAGGGACTAGAACCGAAGGGGCCATGGACCTAATAAGCTAGTGAGTATCCTGGCAAGAATCCTGGCGACTGTAACGGGGAAATCCTCCAGTAGATGGAGCAGCATGACCGAGGCAAAGACCAAGGGTGGTGGAGAGAAGAAGAGGGGGAGAATGATCAGCTGTGGGGATCCAGGTCCCCTCAACTGTCACCTTCCTCCACTTGAATACTACAGTCTGAAGAATCTTTCATCATGAATGTGGAGAGAGGGGAGCAGTGCCAACCATGGGAAAGTCGAGGCTGATCGGACGGGACTTACCGGCAGGACTCGATCCATGTGAACGCTGCCGTGGAACATTGTACAACCTGAAAACAATAAAATAGAAGAGATAGACAGAGCTTGGATACATCGAGAATAATCCTACATGGAATAATTCAATCACACTGATAAAATGATAAGATATAAAAAAAGAAAAAGAAAAGAAAAAATGACCAGACTGGGGCTCGAACCCAGGACCTTGTGCGTGTTAAGCAAACGATATGACCAACTAATCCATCCGGCCTATTTGACGTCATATAATTCCTGAATGTACTTCTAGTCACTAGAATCACTGTACCTCTGATCAATACAGATTAATCTATCGGATTCATTTGACAACCCGGTTCAGGGTCAATCTGGGATGAATCTCGATGGATCAGATTAGATCCTGTAATTTCATTTAGATGAGGATTGTAAAGAATCAAGAAGAATGGCCAATTGACAGCCAGTAAAGTCTCGTCTATCTGTCTCTATCCGTCTCGAGATTAATGATCTGCCAGACCATCTAATATATATAGACCGATAGGTGAATACGGAGTGACGATAATATAGATGGATAAATAATCAGTATAATCTAGTAGATGGATAGAAGATATACATATCAAGCATTCCCTCGACTGATGTCTCCATCCTGCAGTCCCTGTCAGGCTGTCATGCATGTCATTCTCTCCATGGCCCACTGTGGGATCTGGTATCCAGGGATGACTTCAAACATCCAGGCATCTGTCATTCTGCATTCTGCATTCTGTCAATTCTTCTCGATCTTTCTTTTCTGAAGAATACTCCACTGTCTTAACCGATTGTCCGTCCACATGCGACCGTTGAGAAAATACGTGGTTGGTTCTTAGACTGGGACTCACTCCTGATAGATCCAACCACGCCTTGCAGGTCACTAGATCTATCATGAACCTTTCGGAGAAATCCATCAGATGGCATACCAGAGGGAAAGAGATTAGTAAATCTCCCCAAAAGACACAGAGAGAAAGAAGAAGAGAGAGAACAGCGTCATGGTGACTGATGTTCATGATGGGGCGGCCGACTCAGCCATTCGCAGATCTTCTCGTGATCCTCATTTCCCTTCACCTCTTAGTCTCTCTTCTTCCTTCCTTCCTCTCCCTCTCCCTCCTCCTCCTCTCCATCCCCCGTTCTTTTCTCCACTCCTCCTCTTCGTTCACTCGTTGGTTCGAATCCACTCTCCAGGTCCTTCCCTTGGATAAAGTCGACTTCTCTCCATCTACTCTCTATTCTCCTCAACTACACAGTTGATTACCCCGTCTCTCCCTCACTCAGCTCACTCCTTACTTGGCGGCTCGCTTCCCCCCCGATCCGGTTCATGGTAAACACAGAATCATGGATACTGTCTCCGCCCGGTTTTGATCGATTCCTCGCCCCTGACTCGAGTCATTCGCTTCCTGTCGACCGGGTTTTCATCGTGGCCGTTTATTTTTCTCGCCATCGTCCTTGTTCATCCCTCACTCCCTCCTGAGTCCTCACCATGAACGGGTCCGACTTCCGAACCAGCCAGTCCTCCTATGGCGACCCCCGCCATTATTCTGCGACCTCCGTGGGCCCTCCACAGCCGCCCCCGTCCAAGGTCCTTCTTGATGGCTACCAAAACAACGTTGATGCGCTTCAGGGGGAATCGCCGCGATATAACCCGGTGAGTCGTCCCTACGATCGTCCCCCCGCAAGTCGCTAACCGGGACCAGTTGAATCCGACACACCCGCGCAGTTCCGCTCTCCTGAACGCCAACGATCCCGTCACCATGTACTTACTCACCGAGACCGCCATGGGCGACAGTGCCCATTACGAGATCCTGTCCCTCGAGGAGGTCGAGTCGCTGAAGAAAGAGCACAAGTTCCTCGCCGGTCGCATGGACGGCGCTAAGCGGAAGTTGGCGCTGGAGATGAAACTGCGCGATGCCGCCTCCTCCCTCAACCGGCTATACGGCGCCAAGAGTCCCAGGGGCAGTGAGGAGTACGCCGCGGGGGGTTCGCCCAAGTCCCATCGCCGGAGTGGGAGCATCTTTGGCCGCACCCCCGGCTCCCAGGACAAGGCGGACGAGGAGCTGGCGGTGAGCTCGCGTAAATGCGACGAGCTGGCCCACGAGATCTGGAGCGTCGAGGGCCGCGTCGCAACCATCCACCGCCGTCTGCTCGAGCACACCGCCGGCGTGCTGCAGCTGACCCACAAGGGCCTGAAAAAGAACCCCAAGAACAACATCCCCCACACCCCGGAGAGCCTTTCGAGCCACAACACCCAGGGCAGCGTGGACGAGTTCGACGACCGCAGCCTGTACCGCCCCTTTGACCACGGCGACGAGTTCGGCTATGCGAGTCGGGCGCCGCCCGTCCCCGCGGACCCCAGCACGCCCAGTGCGCCCAGCGCGCTCGGCCTGGACGCGGTGCAGAGCATGGAGCGACGGCTCGAGGAGCTCAGCGCGCGGATGCGCGACCAGGTCTCCCGGTCCAACCCGGACAGTGAGTTCCATGCGGTCCCCCTCCCCGCGCACCGGGGCAGCCCAACGGATCCAACCGCAGGTCTAGAGGCCCACCTGGCCTACATCACCAGCGCGCTCGGGATGATCCACGCCCACCCGCCGCCCCCAGACGCCACGCCGACCCGGGGCGGGGACGACGGACCGTCCGTCGCCCACCTCGGGGACCTCAACGCGCGCATCTTCGACATTGTGGCTCAGTCGGGCCTGCCGCATTCCCAGACCCTCCCCCCGCCGCCGGAGGCGGCCGACGGCGGCGTGTCGGAGCAACTGGCCTACCTGGGGACCGGACTGGACGGGCTTCAGCGCCGCATCGAGGGGCTTTTGGACCAGAAGAGCATCCTGACCACCCAGATCCAGCAGCAGCGCGAGCTCAACTCCAAGTCCGACGCCGAGCGAGACGCCCATATCGGCGACCTGGTCGAGCAGCTGGCGCACGTCCGCAAGGACCTCGAAGGCACGGAACGCGACCACCAGCGGTCCCAAGACGAGATGGGTCTGGTCGTGGGCCAGCTGGAGGCCGTCCGCCGCGAGCTGTCCGACCACCAACAACGCAGCGTGCCCGCCGAGGATGCCGGCGCTCTGTCCGCCGAGAAGGACGCCCGTGCGCACGCCGAAGCGGAACTCGTCCGCCTGCAGGCCATCGTGCAGGAGCTGGAGCGCGACCGCGCGGCCCAGGCCGAGGCCCACGAGGCCCGTCTGCGCGCCGAGAGCGAGGTGGCTCGTCTGGAGTCGGATCTGGAGGCGCTTCGATCCCAACCGACCAGCGACCCCGAGGAAATGGCCGCGGTGCGCGCACACGCCGACAGCGAGATCCAGCGCCTGCAAGGCATCATCGACCAGCTCCACAGCGAGGCCGATGCCCGGGCGGAAGAAGCCGCCGAGGCGCGCGAGCGCTCGGAGCAGCAGATGGCGGAACTCGAAGCCTCCATGCAGCAGATCCGCTCCGAATCGGACGCCCGCGTCCGCGAGTCGATGGAGAAGCGCGCCCAAGCCGAGGGCGAAGTCGCGCAGCTGCAGGCCTCCATGGAACAACTCCGGTCGGACATCCAATCCCAGCTCCAAGAAGCCACCGACGGCCACACCCGCGCCGAGGCGGACGCCACCCGCCTGCAGACCGAGCTGACGCAGATGGAGGGCGAGGTCGCCCGTCTCCAGACGGAGCTGACCATGGCCAAGGCGGAGCTGGACGGGGCCTATGGTTCCCGGTCCGAGCGGGCCGCGGCGGCGGCCAACTCGGCGATCCAGGAGGAGATCGACGCGCTGAACACCCGCAATCTGGAGCTCATGGAAGAGCTCGCGGGCCTGAAGGCCGGGAAACCGGGCGGCGGTACCCCCGACAGACGGGTGCAGATGCTGGAGAAGGAGCTTCGCGAGACCGTCGACGACTACGAAAGCATGACCAAGGCCAGTATTGAGTTCGAGAAGGAGCGCGAGCGGTTCGAAGGGGTCATCGATACCCTCCGGGACCGCTGCGAGCAGCTGGAGACCCAGATCAACGAGGAACGGATCCAATGGATGGGCATCCACCACGCGCCCATGTCGCGCGACGGGACCACGTCGGAGACTACCTCGACCATGGTGCTCAAGAACGAATTCAAGAAGATGATGCGCGATACTCGGATTGAGAACATGAGGATCCTCAAGGTGAGTTTCAATAACTACCAAAAATTACCCCCCAGTCATACTGATCCCCGTTTAGGCCGAACAGGAAGAACGCCGCAGGCTCGAAAACCTGATCCGATCGTTGAAGAAAGAGCAGGCCAACGCGGCCGCGGCTGCGAGCCAACCCACCACCCCAGGCGTCGCGACATGAACATCATGATATCCCCTTTTCCGTTCTCGTTACATGCTGTCACCCTTCTCGGTTACCCCATTGTTAATTTTCTTCGATGATATCCATTCTCCGTACATATTAATGCCTGATTGTCACATGCTCTATGTTTCTACCATTTATCTTACCATTTGATTCCCCTCTCGGTTGCTGATTGATTGGGTGTATATAAGCTTTAGATGATTTCGTATTATAATATTCTTGTTCTTTCTTGATCTCTTATGATTATTCTGGTTGCCTGTTTATCCTACTTATTACGCGAGCTCTGCGCCTTCCAATTGTAGTCATTCCCTTACACTAGGAAAGTGCGATGCACTGGCACACTCCCCATCATAGTTGGTGATTGGCATTGAGTTACACCGCGAGTGCCCCGAAGGTATCCCATTTCACGGTCCTACCATGTCCCTCTGAACCCAAGTTGCAGACCTGTCACGGTCTCAACCCTTGGCAGCATGTCCTCATGCCAGTCCACGCCACCGCGATCAGAATCCAGCGAAAACATCATAGTTTTCGAAAGCCACCGCGCCAGCGAAGAAGCCAACCCAGCCCCCAACCAGGAATACTCGCTGTCGTGCCCCACCGACGAGACCTCCATCTACAATGCCGCGCGAACCAACTCCCCCATCGAAGGCTATCCCCGCCACTCAGAGCCAGGCAGCACAGTGAAAAACAGCCTGCACGCCCGAGAAGCTGCCAACATGGCGATGTTCCTCTCTCGCACATCGGAGCCCGCATCCCGTCTAACGCAGCACGGCTCTGACCCCGGCGGTGCGGCGCAGAAGAGCAAAGACCGCTGGTGGCAATCGCTGTTCTGGTCGGATAACCACGCGCCATGCTCGACGGATAGTGAGAAAGATGAAGAAGAGGTCTCGTCGCCGGATGAGTCGTCGCGGACGACCCTCTCTAGTCGGCGCCAACACCTGAAAGCCGCGAGTCTCGATGATACTGTGTCCACTGCTCGGATGTCGAAGTGGCCGGGGGATGTTGGGTCGCCTGTGAGTCCGGCGCAGCCTAAGTATCCACCGCCGGTGAGGCCGGCTACGCCGCCGGGACTGCCGTCGTTTGGGACGCCGGAGGCGATGTGTTTTGCGACGCAGTATGCTGTTCGTTCTGCGCCGTCTCATCGGCAGGGTCGGAGGGGGGACCAGCCCTCCACGGGCAGACGTCGCAGGCGCGCTGCTTCATACGGGGAATGGTTGCGCAGGCTGTTTGGTTCTTCTGCGGCTGTGCAGACCCGGCCGAACTTGCAGTTGGGTCAGCTTGCCAGGGCGGAGGACGGCACGATCGTCCAGGGTCGCTTTCCCTATAGGAATAGTGCTCACGGGACGCATATGGGAGGTAGAGGGTTAGAGAGCCATCCGTTCCATCGAGGGACGCTTCCCGTCGCGGAGTGCAGTCTTGTCAACGGTGCTGCTGCATCCCTTACCCGAGGTGGTCACGGCGCGAGGCAGCGAGGCGGTATCTTGCTGGACTGGCGGACCCCAAGTCCCAACCGTGAAGCGGGTGTTAACTCCCCAGCCCCGAAAGGTGCCCTCGCTGCTCTCCTCCGCCATGTAGCAGCGTCAACAGGCCCAGCAAGCCGACCCTCAGCCCGCACTACCTGTCCGCCCCTCTCACATTACCACTCCTGCTCCTCCCAGCCCATCACAGCCCAGCCCCGCGCATCCAGAGCAGTCCTAGGCTACACCGTCGACCCCTCAACAGTCTGCTCACTAATAACAACACGATCACCCCCAGACCAACAAAACCCCCAAACCGACGACCAACACGAAGACACGAGTCTCTGGCACCAGTCCAAACAGCTCATCAACACCTACCTCTGCTGCTCCTGCAGCTCCGCCCCCGAGCAAGACACACTCTTCTACCCGTCCAACGAGACCTACATGACCGCCCACGGCTGGATTTCGAATGTCAATAGCGTCGAGAACGCCCGCGGAAACTCTAATGTGGGTAATGATACCGTGCGTGTGAATCGAGACGGTGGACGCTGGTGGGGTTTGGGGGGTGCGTGGAGGTCGTTTAAAGGGTTTGCGGCGAGGAATGTGCTGGTTGTTGATAGTGTGATTGCTTAGGTGTCTACTGGGTTGGATGCATATTGGACTGCGTTTGGGGTCATTGGGTATATGATGTATGGACTGACTGGGATACACCGATACACACTGTCTATGAATGCGTGGCTTTGTTTGGGGTGAGGTGGGTATTCTTCCTTTCTTTTCTTTTCCCTCTCTCTATCTCTTTTTGTATCGAAGAAAGAGAAAGCAAGTCATACCTGGCTTGATCTCTTGGTCTTGGATGAACAGCATGTATTCCATGCCAGTATATACATTACTTCTCCCTCTTGGTTCTTGCTAGTGTTCTTATTGTTCTTATTGTTCTTGTTCTTGTCCATATCTTATATAGAAACGTGCGCATTATTAGTATCACCTACATACATACATACCTACCTATCAACATTACCAGATTGATTGATTGACTGGTTGGAAAGTGGCGTTACCATTGTCTTAGTATTTCTCTTTATACCTCTGTTTCTGTTAGTTAAGTAGATGGGTAGATGAGTAGGTATGTAGTCTCGCCCGTTGCAAGATCTCTATGCACTTTCAGCCAAACAAGAAGGATATCAAAAGAAGAATAATATATACTAATCATAGAGACCACATTGATGTAATAACTTCATGCTTTATATGCAATAGAATAACTTGAATAAGTGAATACTATCAACATATCAATCCGAAAGACCTGGATCGGATAAAGAAGATAAGAACTGAATAGATGAGCAAGAAAGGAATAGATGAATATTCAGATGGATGAATAAAGTAAATAAATAATGGATGAAAAGGATTAAATAAACTCGCAGGCTAAGAGAAGTGGATGGATGATAGATAATAGATAGATAGATAGGTGAATATATGATAGATAATAGATAGATAGATAGGTGAATATATGATAGATGAATAGATGAATGGATAAATGGATAAAGAAACGAAAGAATGAGAAGAAAGAAACCGGAACCTCGCTATGATAACTCAGAATCCAACCCGATTCTTATTTATGTATTGACTGACTGATTGACCGATTGATTATCCATTCATTCACTCACATGCAAATCAATATTGACAGAGAAGGGAGAAAGAAGATTGAGTTTGATCATTAGGATTGACCTTTGATTGGATTCATCTTGATGGAGGTTTGTCTGTCCATATATGGTGATGATCATGTAGAGGTAGGGTAGGTAGAGGGAAGGATAGATATAGGTAGGTAGGCAGAGTCGATCATGTAACGCGTAGGTTCAATACGGTACTATAACCCCTTGAAGAACTGACAAGCCTCTTCAATCTCGTTATCCCCGGCGACAAAGTCCCACCCGATGATGCGCGGGTCCTGGCTGGCGCAGATGATCTTGCGCGCGTCGAACTGGAGCTTGAAGACGCGGGAGGTCGGCTGGGTCGCGGGACCAGTGGCGGGTCGGTGCGGACGGACCGGTGCGTGCTGCTGGGGTTGGAGATGCGGGTTCGGGCGGCGGGGACGGCTGGGGCGGGGATGCTGGCGACTGCGGGATGGAGTGTCGGCGTGGAAGCACCAGCCTGCACTGCTCGCTGCGCCTGAGCGCGAGCCTGGGCCCGGGCCTGGGCCTGGGCCTGAGCCTGCTGGGCGAAGGCGTTGCCGCGGACGGGACCGTGAGCCGCGCCCAGGTGCGTATTGGCAATGTTGTCGGCGGCGTCGGCTTGGCGCAGGCGCTGGCCGACTACCCAGTGGCCCTCGTTGTCCTTTTTCCAGATGATGATGGACTCGTCGTACGAGCCCGAGACGATGCGCCCCCACTTGCTGCCACCCCCGCCGGGTGGGATCGTGGCACCCAGGGCTTTGATGTCGCGTGGGTTTCGGGACCCGGCCGTGTTCTGCGTGTGACCCGCCCGTCGGAGGGCTCCGGGGCCGAGGTCCACCGGCGCGCCGGCACGGTGGGCGTCCCAGAACTGGTTGTCGACGGCCAGAGCCTCCAGTCGCATGGCCTCCTCGGCGCCCGGGGGGTCCCCAAACCCGGCCTGGACGGTCCGGACCAGGTTGAGGTGGCCCCGGAGACAGGCGACTTCGGCGCCCGAGACGTGGTCAAAGATGCGCACGGAGTCATCGTTGCTGCCGCTGATGATGCGCCGGTTGTCGAACTGCACGCAGGCGATGCCCTTCTCGTGGCCGACCAGGGTCTTCTTGCACGCGCCGCTGCGGAGGCTCCAGATCTTGATCAGCCGATCGCCCGACGCGGAGACGATCTCGTCGTCACTGATCTGGATGGCGTTGACGGCCGCCCCGTGTCCCTCTAGGGTCATGAGGAGAGCGTATGGCGCCAAGGTCCGGATGTGGTCCCGGGCCATCTGCGCCTCCAGGATGGGCGACGGGATCTCGCTCGTGTCGACAATGTAGGACGGGTAAGTGACGCCGGAACTCCGACAGGTCACTGGATAATCCGGGTCCGTCGGTGCGAGGGTGCGTCGGTTCCACACCTTGATCAATTTGTCCTTGGAGCAGGTGACGAGAAACCGGTCATCGAACCGGAGGTTCAAGACCGAGTCATTGTGCGCCCGCTCGATCTCGTGGATCTTCTGGCCGGTGGAGAAGCGCCAGATGATGACATTCTTGTCACTGCTGCCGGAGATGATGACGTCCTGCTGCGGCCGGGCGTCGAATTGGAGGCAGAGCACCGATTTCGTGTGGCCGACCAGAGGCCGGTAGAACAACCTTTTGGTGTTCAGGTCCCAGACTCGCACGGTCCGATCGCGGCTTCCACTGACCAGCCACCTGCCGGAGAACTGGATCGCGTAGACGCATTCCTGGTGAGCTTCGTCCATGTGCGCGGGGTGCGGCAGTTGGAAATTCGTAAAGCGACCCTTGTTCCAATTCTCTTCCAGGCGCCTCCGTTGACGGTACAGATGGGGCCAGTTGATCTTGGTGAGACTGTTGAAACGAAGGAGGAGATTGGATGTTGGCGACGTGGACCTGTCCGTCATGGGCCGCATGATCTCCGACTGCGAATCGCGACTGCTGCTGCTACTGCTACTGCTGCCGGTACGTCCTAGGGACTGGTCTTCCGCCGAGCTTGGGAAACTGCGGTCGATCAACGCGTCGCTCATGTGATAGTCCCCCTCTGTATCCGCTTCCGCCATCGCGTGCGGCCCATTGTCTTGGAGCGACGCGTCGGTGCTCCGTGAATCCAGCCAGCTCGGGGGCACCCGCTTCTTCTGCTTCGGTTCTTCCGAATCCGTGTCGGTATGTCGTGGGCGCGATTTGCGGGACTGGGGCGACGGAAGCCCCGAGTGCGCCTGCTCGAACGAGTGGATTTTATCGATGTCGACGCGCCATCCTTCTCCGATGTACAAGTCCCTCCACAGGCGAGAATCAAAGATCCGACCGCGCCACGCGCGAGAGGCCAACGACGCGGTGAGAAGGGTGTGCGGGTCGAGGTAGGAGAAGATCTCGGAGGTGATCTCCGGGGGGAGCTTGAAGACGGGGTCCATGTGTAGTAAGGGGGCCAGGCGATCGACGACTGCTGCCACAGTGGAGGTGCGTACGGTTCGTAGGAGATTATACGCGAGCTCTACAATTAGGGAAAACACGATGGTCCGTCAGCATCACACACCAGCAAAACGCCCTGGCCAACACACGAGCGGCGCTGGCAACGGTTCGCCGACTCACCGGCTCGTTCTTCCTCGCTGTTTGCGAGAAGCCAACCAGGTACGGTCATCCCATCGTTTGTGGGCGCAGGGAAGAGCTCTTTGTCGGGCAGACTCTTGGTTTCGTCGGAGTAGCCCTCGTCCAAGCGGAAGGGCGTGGACGATGGCCGGGAAGCGGGGAGACCGGAAGGGGTATGGTTGGAGCCCTGAGGTTGCAGGAGGCGAGGGAACGAAGGGTCTGGGGCTGTAGACTCCCTCGCCATGAATCTTCGCTGGATGGTCTCCACTGACCGGTGAGGAGGGTCGTAAGTAGTTTGAGAGTCCCTTGATCCTCCTATCTCGGAAGTCGGATCGACGGGGTTTGAACGTTATCGAACGGGCCAAGTATTGACACAAGAAGCCAGACGAAGGGAGCCCCGCTAGACCTCGCAGTTTCTCTGACCGGAGAGAGTGGGCCCTCAAGAGACGTCGAGGGAGACAGGAGGTTGGGGGAGTATTATTGCGGGACCCACATACGGAAGTCCAAACAAAGGACCTAATACTTCATACACTCATTAAGGGTGGGGTCGATTCAGCGGATGGGGAGACGGGAAAGTCCGGAAGGTGGGCAGGAGGGAAGAAGAAGCAATTTTCAGGAGGAAGGATTGTGGGGAAATGAGAAAGGAAGATGGAGAGAAGAGAGAAGAGAGAGAGAAGTAAGAGAGGAAGCAAGAGTTGGATGGATGAGGTTCTTCCTCCAAGGCTAATCCCGTTTGGGCAGGTCGATATCCCAGCCCTGTGACCAGTATCTGTCACCAACTCTCAACAACTTCATCCACATTACTATAAATATGCCAAGCTGACATGACATGGCTAACCCTCATGCTTCTCCCAGATCGATTGGCTAGTGATGGCCCTGCGCGGACACCCAACTCTTCCAGCGAGCTCCGTCAGACATCATCCACATCAACCTCTGGCATGGGCTTCATAGAAGGGACTCGAGAGGATCGTCTCTTAAGATGATTAGTTCCTTTCTTCCCATCCGGGATTTCCTTCCGATCCCGTGAGGGGGGTTCAAGAACCGATCATAGCTATAGCTATCGCCCCACGCAAGGAGCTGGTTGATCCTAAATCACCGTGGATGGGCGCTGCTCCATGCTACCCGATGCATGCAATGCCACTTTCGACAGTGCCCAAGGTTCTGGTCGAAGGAGCATCTTGCAAAATCAGAGATTGGACGTTGTATTATCATCCAGACGCGACCCAGATGGATATGGTCTCGCTGATGGGTTTTTTTTTCTTTCTTCTTTGCTTTTTTCTGAAATATTGATTTCTTTCTAAATTCGCGGAGTTTGATTCAACCTTTGATCGGTCGTTTGCTCGCGATACGAATCAAGTAAGAGTGAATGGAAAAAGAAAAGGCGAAAAGAAACAAAGAAACAATCCCTTCTTTACCATCATGTCGGTCTTCTCCTATCAGTCAGTACCTAAGCGCTACGGAGATGCGACAGGGAAGGCGCAGACACTGCATGGTTGGCGCTTGGACAGGTCTAGGAGTCCAGGATGCAAAGAGATGGCTTAAGGAGTGAAAGGAAAGGAAAGGAAAGCAAGGTTTTTGGTGGTTCCAAGGATGATGAGGCACTATAGTTGACATAACAGGTGCTGGTTGAAGGGTCAGTTGAAGGGTTGAAAAGGAAAAGGAAGACACCCGGTCTGGGATCAATACACTCCGTCAGGTTACCAGATGCCTGTCCAGGTGAGATACAGACATAACCCATACGGACTGGAAATGCCGTTTCTTCCTTTAATTCCTCTCGACGTGGAGTTGGGATCATGATGAAACATGAGGCTGCCACATGCGGCATGGAGAGCGACGATCTATATATCCATCCAATTTCAACCGTCAGGTCAACCCGCGCCCCCACCATCGACACCAAACGTCTTCTTAAGTTCTTCCTCTCGGCGCAACGCTCGGGTCGGACTAGGTCATGAGCTAGTCGGACTTTCCAAACGCTTGGTGTTTGAGAACGCGAACGTTCTCTGCGATTTCAGTCTTCGGGGTTGGTGGTCCTCATGCAGACCTCCACCCCGTTTCGGCCTTGGTTCTCTTAGGTTCTCTAATCCCTACTTAGCGGATGGTGGGGGGGGATTTATTCCCTGATGTGCCGCATGCACCTTTTAGAACGAAACCCCGTTACAGGAAAGACAGGCAGAGAAAAAGCAAAAAAAAGAAAAAAGAAGAAGAAATGGAACAAATGATCAAGGGGAATGACGATGCAGCCGATCCCTGTCGAAACCTTGAAGAGATTGATCATGAGGAACTGCCGGGTTTTTCTTTTCTGTCTCCTCTCATCTTGGATGTCCCCGTCAGATGAACATCTCTGACCTTAGCATCCCCTTATCGACGGACGGGACGACTCCCCGATATTGTACATTGAATACTGGTCGATCAGGGTGATCTTTTGGTTGGACACTGGAGGATGGAAGACCGGCGTCCCCTGATATTGAGGACTGAACACGGCCACCATCTTGAGTTCTGTCTGGTCTTGATTGAGATCCTTCATCATGAGGCAAAGTCATCATTTTTTTCTCTTTATTTCATTTGATATATTTGATATATTTTGTTCTTTTTATAACCGACTATTGGATCTCTCCCCTTACCGGCCGGAATCCTGTCGACACGGTGGGTTTTAGTGCAGTGAACCCCCACATCTGCTGGATCCTTTCTGTTCTCTGAAGTTTGGTCTCAGGTAAGGGTCGGAATTTCTGGTATTTGATATAACCAGAAAATATAGATAAATAAATAGATAATAAACCAGATGATATCAAATAATATATCAAATCAAAAACCAGGAAAACAAGGGAAAAAAGAGGGAAAGAAGGGTGATTTAGATCCAACGGCCGAATCGGCGTAACGATACCGTACGGTATTTCTGCCTTATCGACCTCCATCCCAGCCCATTCATTCATTCTTCATTCTTCTTCATCTCCTTCTCTCTCTCTCTCTTCTCCTTTATATATATCGTCGTATTCCATACTGAATGCTCTAGTTGGATCTTCTTCTACCTATCTCGCCCTCTATCCTCTCAGTACACTGAGTCGAATCGGACTAACCTGGTCTAGTCCCTCCAACTCCGAACCGTACCAACTTCTTTCCCTTCCCTTTCTCCACTCCCTTTCTTTAGCCGCTCGCTTGCGCTATCCCCATCCCGCATTGATCCACCGCGCGGGCTCTCCCTCTCAACCTCACCTTTCAATCCTGATCCATGCTGCATCGCTTTTCTACCTCAACCCTCACTGCTTGTCGCCCTCGTTTTCTTTCAATCTGCTGTGCGGATTTATTTTGACGATCCTCTCCTGATACTTTCTTTCCCCGATTCTCCCCTCCTCCGTATACCTGCTGGATTGGTCTCCCCATCTTCTTCTCCCCCCCCCTCTCTCCCCCTCCCTCCCTCCCTCCTCCTCCCTCCCGCACGGTCCCTATCAACGGGCAATCGAGATGGTCGAGACCCCAGCCATGACTGGCGGTCCCATCGCCGAGGACAATATCATCAACCGGCGTGGCGGTGAGTCGATCTATCAGAGCTGCGTCAACCTCAAGAAGCGACTGGCCGAGCTCCCGTCTTTCCGACCCCACCTGGAGGAACGAGAACGGATCGATCAAGAGCAGGGGAACACCGACCCGGTCGCGTCGCTATGGAATCTACTGCGCGAGGGCTTTCCTCTCTTGACCATCTTCAATTCCTCCGACCCCGAGGAGTTCCTGGAGGTCGACCCGGCCAAGGTCCCCGAGGCCAAGCGCCCCAAGGCCGCCACCTTCAAGTTCCTGCAGGCCTCCCTGCAGGAGCTAGCCTTCCCCCAACCGGATTGCTTTCTCATTACCGATCTGTACGGGGAGAGCACCACCGGGTTCATTAAAGCGATCAAGATGGTCAACAAGGTCATGGATATCCTCGAGATGCAGGGCAAGCTCCAACGTCCGTCCGAGGACCCTGCCGCCACGCCCGCCCAGGGCGCCGTCAAACTCACCAAGCGAGAGCATATCCTCAAGGAGTTGTTGGAGACCGAGCGCGATTACGTTCACCACCTGCAGAATCTACAGGCGCTGAAGAAGGAATTGGAGGAGACCGGCGCGCTGACCGGGGACGCCAGCCACCAGATCTTCTTGAACCTCAACAACCTGCTCGACTTCGCCCAACGCTTCCTGATCCGTATCGAGCAACACTACGCCCTCCCTGAGGACCGGCAGAACTGGGGCGCGCTATTCATGCAGCACGAAGACGCCTTGCGACAATACGAGCCCTTCATCGCCAACCAGATGCGCTGCGACGCCGCCTGCCAGCAGGAATGGGACAAGATCCGCATGGCCCCGCGTTCCTTGGATCTCCAACAGATGGTCGCCCAGCCCGCCACCCTCAATAGTTTCTTCGTCAAGCCCTTTCAACGGCTGACCAAGTACCCCTTGATGCTATCGGTGAGGACCTCCCCTTCCCCTCCCCCCTCTAGCGCCTTGCGCGCCCGCGCTAACAGGAGCATTAGGAACTGCGCAAACAGCTCGAAGACCCCGACCTCCAGAACGACATCACGGGAGCGATCGACGCCATTCAGGTCGTGCTCGACTCGGCCAACGATGCCATTGACAAGGAACACCTCGCCACCGCATTCAAAGAGCTGGACGAACGGGTGGATGATTGGAAGTCGTTGAAGATTGATTCGTTCGGGGCGTTGCTTCGCTATGGCACCTATTCCGTCGTGAAGGGGGACAATGGCAAGGATTCGGAACGCGAGGTGGGTCTTCCCCCAGGAATTTCATGGACCCGTGTCGTTCTCCCTGCTGACTCTCTGGGCTCTCCGCAGTACCATATCTACCTCTTCGAACGGATTCTCCTCTGCTGCAAAGACATCAACCCCAACAAACAAAAGGCCAAATTGACGATTAGCAAAGACAAACCGGCGGGCCCGATCAAAGGCAAACCCCGTCTCCAGCTCAAAGGACGCATCTATATGGCGAACGTGACCGACATCCTCTGCTCCCAAAAGCCTGGTAAGCCGCCCCTACTCTTCCACATGACTAGTCCTCTGAATTTCTGACCAACTCGCGGTGGTAGGCCAATATCGGATCCAGATCTTCTGGAAGGGCGATCCGGGCGTGGTGGACAACTTCGTCATTCGCTACCAGAACGAGGATACCATGAGCAAGTGGTACAAAGACATCGACAACCAACGCCAGATCCAGGTGGAGCATCGCAGCACGCGCAGCACCGGAACCTCAGAGACCGAGTTCACCTACATGAAGAGCATGACGAATATCCCCAACCCGTACCAGCAGGAGTATGACGCCGAGGAGTCGGCCACCAAGGAAGCCGGGTTCTTCTCGGAATTCCCCATGAGCCGCAACGCCTCCAGCACAAGCCTCCGGACCCGGTCCGCCACCGGGGGGAGCGGCGGCGGCTCCGGACCCGCCATGTCGGTCAATCGTCCGCCCCGCGGGTACCCCGTGCCGGACCCGAACCTCGCGGTCCACACCCAATTCCCGGGGAGCGGCGGGATGTCGCCGATCGAGAAGAATGCCAACTCGTACTTCTCCCCCGTCGCCGAAACGCCGTCTACGCGGTCCAGCTCCCAGTCCACCGCGTTCAGCTACAGTCGCCAGGGAACCCCGTCCAACGGCTGGACGGACGAACACAACCGATACACGGCCCCCGCCCTCTCCCGGGGGATGTCCCGGGATGGGTCGGCCCCGACACATTACGTGAACGGGGTGCCGAACGGGCGGAGCACCCAGCGCCCGTCGCTGCCCCCCATGCCTGGGGCGGGGCAGACCGCCAACGGCATGGCGCAGCAGCGCATGCGGTCGGCCAGCAGCCCGGACATCCACAACCACGCCCACAACCCCGAGTCCCGCCGGTACATGGGGGCACACACGATGCAGACAGTGGACAACGTGCCCGTGCCGCCGATCCCGGCCCACATGGCCAGCATGAAGGCGCCCGTCAACCGAAGCCAGAACAGCTCGCCCACCAACGTCCACCTCCCCGTCCGCGGGGGCCCGCCGGCCCCGGCCACCCATTTCCACGAGCCGCAGTACGCGGACAACCGCCCTGTGGGGCCAGCGGCGGACGCGCCGACGTCGCCCCTCAGTCGCGATCCGGAGGAGCCGATGATGCCCACCCAGCTCAAGGCCAAGGTGAACTTCGACGACAACTACGTCACGTTGGTGATCGCCAGCAACATCATGTTCCGGTCGCTGATCGACCGGGTGGATGCCAAGCTGGCCCGCTTCACCAACCGGTCGGTCGGCAACAAGTCCGTGCGACTCCGGTACAAGGATGAGGATGGCGACTTTGTAACCATCGACAGCGACGAGGCCGTGCAGCTGGCCTTCATGGAGTGGCGGGAGCAGCACCGGGACATGCTTGCGCGGGGCCAGGTGGGCGAGATCCAACTGTTCTGCCAAGCCGTGGAGAACTAGTCGTGCGTGTCGGGGTGGGTGGAATCCCCCGCCTCTTTTCTTCTTTCTTCCTTGTTATTCACCCCCTCCTTCCCACTCCCGATTACGATGCCCCCCTCCCTGATCTACCTCCCCCGTCCTCCCACTCGCTTGTCCTTTTGAAGAGGAGGGGGGGAGGTACCTCTCCCCCTTCATCCCGCCTTTATCGATGGCACCTCCCCACGACAGTCCCCGGCGTCGCCTCCGGGTCGGCCCTCCTTCGTCCACATCCTTCGGGAGTGACAGGAGCACGTCAGGGACGAACCGATCGAGGAGAGGCGTCCGGGCGGAAACGACCTTTCCATCCTTCTTCCTTTCTAGTGACTCTTTTGGACCCGGAGGCGTTTTCTGCGTTTGCCTGGATTGGAACGACCCGTCTCCCGACGAGTGCGATGTGATTGATGACCTCTCTTTGTTTCTTTCCTCTCCCGTTGTTCTTCTGTGCTTGGTTGATTGATTGATTTCTTGATTGATTCGCGGCCATCGGACCCGTGGCTGGAACCTGACTAGACTGCATGTCGCCCCAAGACTCGAGATGCGCTGTACAGAGAGTCGATGCGTATCCAGGGCTAGTGTGCCCCTGGCGGGCGGGATTGTCCATGTGGTGTGGGAAGTTGATGACTCCGAGAGTGTCTTGATGATTTTACTTAGACTTGCTGAATATCCCGCTATCTATTTTTTCTTTCTTTTCTTCTACTTCTCTTTATATCCGCTGGGTTGCTTTGACTTGTGTATCGACCTTAGTTTTGGGGAATCAACGATCTACCAACTTTCCTGTTGATTGGGATGATCTAGGATACCATTATGACCCAGTCCAACGGTCAAGCTCTTCTAGAAGATAGACGGCGTCCCTGTCCCTGGTTGGATCCTGATCGGGAAGAGTGGGTCCTTCTTTTCCTTGGGTGAGAGCTTGGGGAAAGACCTCCGGCATGGAACCGGGACCAGGGGATCCATTTTCACCATGAGTTACAATATAGTTAGACTGGTCTCGTTTCAAACCCATAGAAAATCATCATCCATTAGATCGATATTGCATTTTGAAGACTTCCTCCTGAGTATTGCCGATTATCCGTCCTTCCCAGAAAGACGACTAGCCACGAACCACTCATATAAATAGACTGCGTAGGGCGTTTCAGACGACGCTAAGCCTTTGCGCTGGTGAGTGTTAGTTATGGGAGAGAGAGAGAGAGACCTTAGTGTCTCCACAGTGTCCACCGTCGATCGAAGATGCGGTCTAGGTGCGGCATTTTCATTCTTCCTATCTTGGATGGATTTTTTTTTCATGCTTTGGATTTTGTTTTTTGCCCCATGATGACGACTTGCCTTGTTTGGATTATTATGACTATTGGGGATTCTGCTGACGGCCTCCTGGATTTGATCTGTCAGGTAATTAGTAGTTAGGTAGGTAGTCCTATGAGGCAATTCACGTCGAAGGAGGAGGATTCAGGGGGAGGGTATTACTTTGCGGCATTTACTGCGCTGCATCGTGGTGATTAACATTATGAGAGGGAAAGAAGAGAATAATATGGCTCAAAATCAATCGGTCTATCAGATCTATTAATATCAACCGTGTAGACACGACGGAGGAGGAAGAAATGGAGGTATACAAAAGGCTGGCGAGTCCCTCTTGACTCGCTTATCCTGATTGATTTCTTCCCCTCTTTATCAGACTTGCCCCTCATCCTTCTTTTCTCTCTCTGTCGGTCTGTCTGTCTGTGTTTGTGTCTACTGCCACTTCCATAGCTATACTGTCTACATTGCTATATAATCCATCGCATCTTTCCATACCGTCATGTCTTTCTCCGGACGTCGCGTGAGCATCTTGCGTCCTTCCAACCGTCGCTTTTCAGCGGCAAAGGAATTGTCCGAGAATGGTCTGTCCCTCCTTTTCTTTGCTTCTTATTCTCCCTCCTTCTATTTCTTATCCCCTGTCTGACTGATAAACTAACTAAAACCAAAGAACTCCGCTCCGAAACCCACCGTCAATTCCGTTCCGCCCACGAAGGCCACCGCCCCCACGCCGGCCTCGACGCCTCGCGTGCCTCAACCGGCGTCGTCTGGTGTACCGAACGCGCCTCCGAACACGGCTACCTCGAGGACCCCTCCGGCTGGGCCAATCTCGGCCAGGGCGCCCCGGAAGCCGACGACGAGATCGAGGGCAGCTTCCCCCGTCCCACCAGCATCCCGATCACTTCGGCCGCGCGCGAGTACGGCCCGACCGCCGGTATCAAGCCACTGCGCGCGGCGGTCGCCCGTCTGTACAATGAGCACTATCGGCAGGGGAAGGCGAGCCAGTATACGTGGGAGAATGTCTGCATTGTGCCTGGTGGGCGGGCGGGGTTGATTCGTATTGCGGCGATTTTGGGCAATTCGTATCTGTCGTTTCCTATTCCTGATTATTCGGCTTATTCGGAGATGCTGAGTTTGTTTAAGAATGTGAGTGTCACCCACATTCTGATGGGGTCTGGAGAGGCGACCTTCTATCGGTAGAGGTTGTGTGCTGACGATATAGATCGCCCCCATCCCTATGCCCCTCGCCGAAGAAGACCACTATCATATCCACCCCGACAAGATCGCTGAGGAGATCGCTCGCGGTACCTCTGTCATTCTCACCTCCAACCCCCGTAACCCCACGGGTCACTTCGTCGGTCATGAGGAGCTGGCGCGCATCCAGGATATCTGTCGGGATCGCGCGACGCTGATTCTGGATGAGTTCTATGGTGGTTACAACTACACGACGGACTGTGATGGCTCGACGATTAGCGGTGCGGCGAACGTGGAGGATGTTAACAAGGATGGTTTGTCACCCTTCTTTCTGGGCACCCCAAGACGACATCGAGCTAACCATCATAGATGTCCTTCTGATCGACGGTCTCACCAAGCGCTTCCGTCTCCCCGGGTGGCGCATCGCCTGGGTGGTCGGCCCCAAGGAGTTCATCGACGCCCTGGGATCCGCCGGCTCCTACCTCGACGGCGGCGCCAACGCCCCCTTCCAAGAGGCCGCCATCCCCATGATGGAGCCCGACCTGGTGCGATCGGAGATGAAAGCGCTGCAGCAGCACTTCCGCGTGAAGCGCGACTTCGTCCTGAAGCGTCTGCACGAGATCGGCTTCCGCGTCAAGGACGTCCCCCAAGCGACCTTCTACATCTGGCTCGACCTGACCTCGCTGGACCCGCCCCTGCCGCGCCAGGCCAACATCTCCGACGGCCTGAACTTCTTCACGGCCCTCCTGACCGAGAAGGTCATCGTCGTGCCTGGCATCTTCTTCGATTTGAACCCGGCCAAGCGACGTGACCTCTTCGACAGCCCGTGCCACCACTTTGTGCGTCTGAGTTATGGGCCCAAGATGGATGTGCTGAAGCGGGGTCTCGATGGGATTGAGCGAGTGGTGCGCCGCGCGCGGGGGGAACCGTTTGAGCCGCACTGGGAGGATGAAGTCGCTGTGTCGGATGATTAGTTTTTTCCTTTATTCTTCTGTCTTCTTTCTTCTGTTCTTTTTCTTTGCTTTCTTCAACTTGATACACCAACATCAGCGTAGAGCATAGTGTTGATTGCTGTGTAAATGAATACGTTGACTCTATCTACAATATCCACGTAAGCAGCGGAGCTGTCCTAGCTGTTCTAGCTAATCATCACGTGACCCTATCAATCATCACTCCACCCGCTCATCTCCTTTCTTTCCTTTCTCTCCCTCCCATGCGCCAAATCAGCCAAAACCATGCGCAGCATGAAGCGTCGACGATGTCGTGGAACCTGGAACGCGCGCTGCACTACGCCGTCTTTGTGGTTCTCGCCGTGATCCTCTTCTGCCTGGTGCTCCTGACCCCATCAGACGCCATCTACCAATGCTACGTCACGCAGCGCCTGACCAACATCTTCATCATAACCGGCGGCTACATAGTGACCTTCCTCCTCACGGCGCTCATCTACGCGACTCGCATCTACACAAACCGCAACGTGCTGTCCGGCATCCCCAAGGCATGGATCCCGATTGAAAAAGAAGACGTCGGCAAGAGCGTCCGCCGGCTTGTCGTGGAAGGTCTCGCCCGCAGCGCTATCATCGCGTACCAGGCCCGTCCGCGCGATCCAGCCGCTGACGCTGAAGCGGACGCCTTCGACGATTACCCGATGCTGCAGATTGACGCCGCCCGGCCGCCTTGGGGAGCCGTCGAACATCCGGGCTGGTCGGCACCGCATTCGCCCGATCTGCCTGATCTACCGTACCGCACTGTCGTGCAGGAACTTCCACATTTGATTGAGGCGAAGGCTGTATCATTGGCCCCGCCCGACCCGTTCTTCCTCGCTACCAACCCCCGTCGCCCGTATCCTCCAGGCCGATCCCTCCACCCGTCTTCTGCCCACGGCAATGACAACGATACAGAACAGTCCATCCCAGACACGCGTGTCGTGGACGTCCTCCGCCGACCGGCGGCGATGGGCCTGCGCGAGTACCTACAGCGCCTGGCGCAGCTGGACGTGCTACACCCTGCGGAAATCGGGGCCGAGTTTCTGAGCCTGTATGAGCGGGCGCGGTTCTCGGCGCACGCGCTGCACGAAGCGGAGTTTCGCTCGCTGATGCATGTCTTTGCGGACTTGCTGCGGGGTATGCGGTTGGCGGACCCGGCGGCTGTCGAGGGCGAGATATATGGTGGCTCGGGCGTGGATAGCGAGTCGCTGATTGGTCCGTCGGACGAGGAGGGCGAAACGGATGCGATGGAGTATAGGGGTGGAGGTGAGGCGTCGAGGCCGTCGGATGCGTCGTCGGCGTGGGATGATGGACGCTCGGTGTATGCGACGCCGGTTGAGAGGAGTAGTTCACGGTGGGGTTCGCGGCAGGGTCAGGCACAGGGTCAGGCACAGGGTCAGGCTCAGAGGCTGCGGCCGCAGAGCTCGACGCAGTCGCTGCGACGGATGCAGTCTGGGTCTAGCTCTGGGAGCGTGATTCATTTAGTGGAGACGCGGGATGCGTCGGAACTGCCTTATGCATATGGGTAGTGTAATTTATGCTTAGTATAATTTATATGGGTAGCATAACATAATATGGGTAGCATAATATTAATATGGGTAGCATAATATCAATACGGTGATAGCATCAGTATTATATGAGTTGTATAGGATTGAGGGTAATAGATATGCGCGTATCCTAATATAGCATTCTTTCACAAAAACGCTATGCTATGCTATGCTAGCGAGCTCCGGAGCAGGCGGAAGCGTTCCGAGATTGATAAGATGTCTTGGCGTAACTCATCATCGGGTATATCATTACCCATATTTCCTTCCCCTACACCTCACCTAACTTAACCTACACCCAACTATACACCCTACCAGCTACACACCATAGACAAAACCACCCACCCTTCCCCCCCAGGAAAAGAATCAACGAAAATGGACCTCCTCCGCCGCAGCGCCTCCCTCTTCACCCCCACCCCAAGCCCAAGTCCCACCCCCAACCCGCCAAAAAAGCCACCACCACCCCAAAAACCTCAGACGACTTCTCCAAAGCCCCCTCCCCCGAAAAACTCTTCCACCAAACAACCGCCAGCTCCGACGGCGAAGACTGTCTCCACGACTGCTCCTCCTGCACAATCAAGTACCCCGCGCGCTTCGATGTCGACCAGGAAGACACGGTGTACGGGAACGTCGACGGGTGGGCGACGCATGCGCTTGTCGCGACGGGCAAGACGGACTGGGTGAGGGATGTTGCGGATGAGGAGGGGAGTGTGATGGAGGCTGTTGAGAAGGGGGGTTGGTTCCGGCGAATGGGGTGTGTATCTTCCCTTTTTCCTTCTTGTCCGAAGAAAACTTCCATGAGGAAGAAAAGAAGAAAAGCTAACAATAGTGATGATCAAGAAACTCAAACTCTCCGCCTCCAACATCCCCGTCCCAGACGAATACCACTCCCACGAAAAGGGCGCCCAGCCCACAACCGTCCTCCTCCTCCCCGCCTTCCAGGTCATCGAGCACGTCACGCCCGCGCTGGCTCCTGCTCTCATCAAGCATATTGTCAGCAAGGCGCCGACGACAACCACCCCGTTGGTTCAACAGCCCGCGCCGCCTACATCGCTTCCGCCCACAGAAGGACAAGAACTCGAAGGACAATTGCAAACCCACCCCTCCCCCCACGCAGCAATCATCCTCCTCTGCTCGCAGCGCACGCGCGACGCCCGCTGCGGGCAGTCTGCGCCTCTCCTCCGCCGCGAGCTGGAGCGGCATTTACGCCCGCTTGGCCTGTACAGGGATATGCACGATGAGAGACCTGGCGGGGTTGGAGTCTACTTCATTAGTCATGTGGGGGGGCATAAGTATTCGGCGAATATGATTGTTTATCGGAGGAGGGATTTTGATTGGTATAAACGGTCTGATGGGGAGAAGGCTGAGGGGGGGAAGACTGAAGGAGGGGAATACGATGAAGGAGCTGCGCAGGGAATCTGGCTGGCGAGGGTTAGACCTGAAGATTGTGAGAATATCGTGCGGTATACGGTTTTGCAGGGGAAGGTTGTTAAGGCGGAGAGGCAGTTGAGGGGTGGGTTTGATAGGGAGAGGGGGTTGATTAGTTGGTGATTTCTCATTTTTTTTTTTTTTCTTTTATATATTTTATATATTGGGTTTGTTGGATTGTGGTTTTGGTGTGGTGGGTAGATGGGTATATTGGGATAGATGGTTTGATCTACTTTTATTTATCTACTATCATTATCTTATTTTCGCTCTTCTACTTCAATCTTCCACTTCTACCTCAATCAACATTACATATACAAATGGTCTCCCCTGTGATATAGTTAAGTGGCCTCTAATGTTTGAACACTGATTCCAATATTGATTAGTATAGCATCTACTTGATATCAAATACTCAAGTCGAAGTACCATATCCTCTAGTAGAGTAAGCCATATTATATGATTAGCAAATCTAACTATATCCCATAACTCTAAACCACATTCTATATACATAGAGTAGATTACAACCTCGCCAACCGCCCACCCGACTCCAACACCGCCAAATGCTCCAGCGAGATATCCTTAATAGTCCGACACCTGCTTCAGTCAGCTTCAAAAAGGACCCAGAAGAATAGGAATAGAAAGAAGAACCCACCCAGTCAACATCATCGTCCTCTTCAACTCCTCACGAATCAGCCGGATCGCCAGATCTACTCCCCTTTCCCCGTCATACTACATACAGTATCCACATTAGCCTAGACTCATCCAGCATAAGGACCAAAAAAAGGAGAAAAAAAAGAAAGAAAGAGAGAAATACAGCCAACCCCCAAATAGCCACCCTCCCCACAAAACAAAACTCCGCCCCCAACGCCAACGCCTTAAACACGTCCGCCCCGCGCCGAACGCCCCCATCAAACGCAACAGGGATCCTCCCCCGCGCAACAGGCGCACACATACGCAGGATATCCAGCGCCGCGGGCACACCGTCTAGCTGGCGCCCGCCGTGGTTGGATACAACGATGCCGTCAAGGTTGTGGTCGATGGCGAGCTGCGTGTCCGCGGGGGTGTATACTTCTATTTCTCAGTGTCCGTCTATATTGCAGGGGGTATGGTGTGATGTGGCGTCATTATGGGGAGAGATTGGGAGGGGGTTTGGCTGATGATACGTACCACCCTTCAGCCAGATTTCCATCTTTGTGTGTTGTCGTAGCCATGGGATGGTCTCGTCCCAGGTGATTGTTGGGTCTGGGGTCACAGCTCTCAACCCCGGTTCGTGCTCTGACTCCGCTAGGACGGGGAACTTCATGTCTGGTGGGAAGCTGAAGCGGTTGCGGCTGTCGCTGAGCCTGTTGCCTAGGATGGGGAGGTCGACGCTGACGAAGAGGGCTTTGTAGCCTGCTCCTATATTTCCATTATTTGTGAATATTCTCATGCAGACCTTGGAAGGAACAGGAAGGAAAAAAGAAGAAGGATACGTTCAGCCCGCTCAATCACCCTCCTCGTCACCTCCCTATCCCGAAAAAACGACACCTGCATTGCATACGCTTTCCATCCCCGGGCATGTCCCTGGCCAATGACATCCTCCACGCCCGACGTGGCCCACGACGACAGGCACATGGGGATGCCGTTGGAGGCGGCCGCGCGAGAGGTCGCCAGTTCCCCGTCCGGATGGGCCAGTCTGTGCGCAGCTGTCGGGGCGAACCCAAACGGGAGGGAGACGTCTTCGCCGAAGATGCGTGTTGTGGTGTCTATGGGATCGACGTTGCGGAGGATGCGTGGGAGGAGGCGGTAGCGGGTGAAGGCGGATTCGTTGTCGTGGAGGGTTTGAAGGTCGTCGGCGCCGAGGTTGTAGTATCCTTTGATTGATTATTAGTATGGGGTAGTATATCGCGTGTGGAGATGAGGCACCTCGTGTAGTAGGGGAGAATCTCTTCTCTGCTTCTTTTTTCAAGTCCGCGATGGTGAAGACGGGGCTGGGGGTGGTCATTTTGCTGAGTTAACAATTCGATAGTCAAACCTGAGAGATGATGTAAATCTGGATATAGATATAGATATAGATATAAACAGGTCGATATGATACAATGGCTCAAGATCAGGATCACCTACTATACCCATACCCAAAAGTGCTAGAGATACCCCGCTGATAACAATCCAACCCCTCCTAACAGAAGTGCACTCCTCACGATCCCCTCACCTCGCCATGGATCGCATTCCGCCCCGCAACCCCCGGCCACACGTACCCATCAAACTGCTATCACGACTGTTTACGCTTTTCCTCACGCCACACGAACAGCCCCGCAATCAATGCCCTCGCCCAACCCTGTCGCTGTCCCTGATACAACCGGTTCGTAGTTTCAGCAGAGAATGAAAAAAAAAAAAAAAAAAAAAAAAAAAAAAAGACCTGGTCTCGCTCGCGGGTTCACGAATCCTGGATGGTGAAAAATGCTGGATGGTTGGTTGCGCGACCTGCTAGTAACCCTCGGATTGTTTCGCGCGTTCATCTTGCTGAGCTCTTCCAGAGATACTCGGAATATGTCGACATGGGCCTGTAAAACATGTCCCAGTATGGACTGGATGACTTGAAGTATGCTATGCTTGAATTATGACCCGTGTTCGACAGGATCCGTATTCGCATTCATTGATAACGGCCGAAAGATTACTCGTCTAAGATATCAAGCCACTTCCGCGAACCGATACTCGTTCCGCAGGTGACTCAAATGCAACGAGTGGGGGTACCGTCTCTGCTGAAACAGGCTGTCCCCAGTAGAACCCCGCGTAACTCGACATACCAGTGACAAAACCTCTAGCAAGATCTCCCGTCCGAGCTGGTAATGAGCGCGACCTGCACAGCCGCGAACCTGGAATCCGAAAGTCAGCATCCACAAGGAACAACGAGCGGTAGCGAGAGACACTCACGCTGTAGAGGCAGCAAACATCTCAGAGCGCCTAGCCTTAACCATGAAGCCGAGGACCATGGCAAACGTGATATTGTATATAAATATGATCGCAAGACGCAAGGGAACACTCTTCACAAAGAACAGAACAAGGATAGACGATGCAGGCAGGAGCCCCGAAATGAAAATGCTGAGTGCATTGGTGAAAGATTTGATTGATTCATCGCTGTAGAAAGAAGCCCCTAACTCCGGGTCGGTGGTTTTCTGGATTCGAGTCAGCTTGTTTGAAGGGGTAGTTCCATGTAGGTGTATATCGTTTCTGAAAGTACCTTGAGCCGGTACCCCCAGCGCTCGTGGAACCAGGGTAATGCTTTACGATAGATCCAGCGCGTAAAGTGGTCTGCTCCGTCTTGTCTTGCGAGGATGGCAACGAGGTCGTTTTCGTCGTTCCATTGGTGTGTCCTACTTGGTCCGCCTTCCAGGCACCTGAGCCACTCGCGAAACCCCGCGAGTTCTGCTTCGTCGGGGCTGCGGAGTCGCATCAACTGGGATTGCTGGATCAGGGCTTCGTCTTGCTTGGATGTCAGAATTTGAGGTGAGACGAGAAACAGAAAGGGAAACGGAAACAATGGGCAAGGAAAAATTGGGTAACATACTGTATTCTTTGAGCAGCCTGCGAATCTCCAAAAACTTCTCCCATTGCATGGAAACGTTCTCCGAATCCCCCAGGGAACCCTTGAGATGCCCGATAGAAAACGGATAGTGTTTTTCATTTCCGCCATCACGAGAGGCCCTGTCCCTATCCAGGCTGATAATATCTTCGAGGTCTGCTTCGAGGTCTCCCAGTTCAGCTTGATAGTAGAGTATATTTTTGAGGTTCAGTCTCGCGAACCGACGGACAAACGTCAACGGTGGGTCTGAGGCCAGAAAGGCCGCGATTCTGTCGTAGCCTGCAGCCATGTCCCGTGTCAGATAGATGGGCTGTAGATAATCGATCAACGGGGCAGCAGCGTATACTAAAGAATGCTGCAGTCAAGCCGCGGGTATATATGCTGGTTACCGGTAGACAGGTATGAGCCTCAACCTATGCGAGGCAGAATACGCCCAGCTGGAGAAAGCGTGAGTATCCAATGTGTTTTATTTGTGGATATGTAGCCATTGTTTCGAGATTTAAGGTTTTTTGCCCGCAGACATTGTTGATTTAATGTCGCGCTTTGCATGATACGCACATACAAGCGCGGTCGTTGGGCAGCGAACCGGTCCCCATGATATTGACAGTCTCTGACTTCTGTCTCCACCGCATGTCTGGCACTGGCGTACGCTGGGGGATCATCTTTATGTACTTACTCGAAGCACTGGTGAGTGCGCCATCATACATGCCAATATCAGCTGGTTATTTCGGTACTGATTTTCAGCAGTTTCTGCCCCGTTCGACCAAGTGAGGAAATGTCCAAATGACACTGATAGCCTTGCATATTCGCAATCAGCATGGTAACCCAGAATGGAAAGACGACTGCGACATACGTGGACCAAGGTCATTTCGCTTGCGGACGCATGCCATGATGTGGTCGAATGATATGCAGCCTCCATCCCCCCCTCTCTGTCCTATTACGTCACAGACCATTTGGGCAGCAGGTGGATGGTGTTTTCCAGCCTTGAAGGCGCAGCAAATCAGAGGCCCGGTAATGTAGAGGGTTTTGTGGTAATTATGTAAAAGAGACAATCTTAACGAGCATGTTGGATGTTGATCCGATATAACCTTAATGAGATAAACTGTAACCGGATGCCCGTAGTAGAACCGACTGGATAGAGCAGACCGCACTTGAGTAGGCTTAATACACCATTTTCCGTTTTATGAAGCTTAAGAAGTACAATGATTAATCCATTGTAGACCCCGTTTCCCGACATGCGATTCAATTTGGTTCGCATATTGGTTCCCTTGAGAACTCAGGTCTATCACGGGATGGCAAATGAACGCCGCGCATACCGCGTCCGCAGTCCTCCACGATCTCGAAGGTGATAATGAGTGGTAATGCTGAGCCAGTTCACCACGGAGAGGATGTTTCCGCTACGTCCAGCATATCCTGACCGAGGTCGATGGCCCCCTTTGACGATTCCCGTCCATAATCACCGGTTTACTGATCCTTAGGGCCATCGACCTCTCAGCTGAATCCCACCCCAGTAGAACCGGAGCAGCTCATTAAGCGGACCCGTCATAACTAACCCGAAATTTCCCAAATGAACTTATTGTGTTGATATGGGCGATTTGTCCTATATTTTCGTCTGCCCACTTGAGGCGAGGGGCAAGACACAAGAAGGAAGAAGGTTGTCGCGCGCCCAGAACTCCGAGGTGCACGTATGTTTTCTCGGAAAACCAGACGCATTGCAAGAATGGTTGGAGAAAATATGTTCCCCTCGCACCGCAAGTAGCTCTGTTGAAGGAATGGAGGAGGCTCCATTTTAGACGATGTCCCAATATGCCGAAATATGCTCCTTTTCCGTATTCACGCCCTACACCGTGCTTCCAACCCATGGCAAACAAGATTCGACGTAGTTATAGATTGATCTGATGTTCCAGGATGGAATGTCTCCCGATCATAACATCGAAGTCGCATCCGCTGACGATGAAGAAAGAGGTGAGGTAGTTGCGAGAGTCTCCCCAGACACACCACAGACAGTTCACTTTGCCGGTCGGTTTGAGATCCGCTTGACCCGGTAGACTGAGCGGCGTAGTCATGCCGCAAGGTTCCTTTTCCAAGTTCAGAGACCTGTACACCTCGTCGTCCATCACATTGACGTCGGCGTTGAGCTCGAGGACGAGAAAGCGTCGTATCTGACCGTAGTCGGCCTTCCATATGAGAATATCCAGGACCTTATCAGCCACTTGGGTTACCGGTGAGTTTATGTGCGCTGGTTCTACGTTGCGCGGTGCAATAATGGGCTCGTTCCGAGGCGCGCCTCGTCTCACCGCCCAATCCGGAATCCTCGATTTTTGTCCCCTAGCTGGATACGAAGAACGATGATCCAGACTTCCAAAGTCGCTTCTCGAAGGCCCATTACCACGTTCGCGTTGATATGGCGAGGGCGACGGAAACCGCTGGATGCGCCAACAACAAAGGTAGGAGGACCGTTTCGATCTCCGGGCGGGTGGTTCTAGTGGGGCACCCATCCCCGCTTTTTCGCCCAGATCGCAGGCGTCACTTTGGTCGTCTTGAACACCTTTCAAGGTCTGTCTTGATTTTGCCTCCCTTTTGCTTTTGGTGTCCTGATGGTTTGGGGTTCCCTTTCCTCTGCGAGGTCCAAAAACATTGAAAACTGTAGAACTTCGTTAGCCTTTTCCGCAAGATCCTTTTCATCAGGGGATAGACACATCCCTTGCCCTTATTGAGATAGATGCTGGGTAAGGGGCGCTTACTTGATCGAGCCATCGGTACACTCCACAGGGCATATATATCCTTTCTTGTGCAATCTGTGTCGAGAGTGATCCCTATTGTCGTCTTTTGAGCAAGAGATTCAGAGCCCCAAGAGAGCCAACATCACATGACATGTGGGCGATTTGTCATCATTGTCGCTCTCAAGCGTTCCTTACCGTCAACGGGGCACGCCAGCAGGCAAAAGGAAAATGTGGGGGTGATGGCTGCCTCGGCTTATTATAGGTCTCGACCGGTTAACCATCTCACGCTTCAAGGATCCAGGGTGAATCTGACCGCTTTTTTGCCCTCGGACATGAGGATAAGATTAATCTTACTGGCTCAGTATCAGATAATTCGCAGGGATGGGCCCAGACGGCTGAAGGCTCGGTGGTCTGTTTGTCCGTCAGGCTCTGGAGAAACACGTAGACGATGCCTATGGACTGATTGATTTTCTCGCATAAGATTAACTACCTATGTGACTACGGAGTTGGTTTCATTCGGGACCTTGACTCTGATACCAGCTCTGCTATATTCATGTAGCTATTTATTGATTTCAACTTCTCTAATTTGACGACCGACGCTCTCTCCAACCAAGTCCCCCCCCCCCCCCCAAACATAATTGAGGATAGAAAGTTAGTGGCTGGGCTGGAATCTGACTAGTTTAATGTGCATAGCCTTGACCGGAAGCTCAATGGAAAAGTGGACTAAATGCCCAATCCTCCGTCGCTATAGGGCTTTTTCATTTGATCGTCATTATTTCACAAAGATCGCCCAACAAATAAGATAGGTCGCTATCTGTTGTCTTGCCGCTAGACTGGGGTGTCCGACTTGCTATGCTCGTGGAGCATTGCGTCGTTGATACTGTTCTCTGAGACGCGCCGTTCTTTCCTCCTCATACTGGGCAGTTTGTTTCTTTTGCTGCTCCTCAATTCTGTCCCTTCTCTCACTCTCCTCTATCCCAGACTTAGTGTCAGCGGGGCCCCTGCATTCACACGAAAATTCTCGGGTAGATTGCCCACCATTTCGGCTAAAACATACCTCGTGTCGGTTTCACATAAACCATTGGCAGCCCGGGATAGCCTTGCTGGTGATAGTCGCGGTGAATGGACGAGTCCTTGCCCACCATAATCCCACACCCGTGAGGTAGCCCCGTAGGAGCCGTGTCGCTGACGGCGAATCTCTCCGCACAGATCCGGCTGCCCTTGGGGATCTGAACTTGCAGTTCGACTACTGCGTCTGTGTCTCCCCGGGAGGACACGAGCCATCTGTCCAGATCTTGAAGCCTGATGACGGCTGCACGGGTAATAAGGTTCGTGCCCCGGGTGCCATCGATGACCGCGTCGAGCATGTGCGACGCGACAGACTCATTCCCATACGGGTATATGACAATTTGACATTGCGGAAGTGACATCTGCCAGTGTCAATATCATCTCCGTTTTCATTTGAGGCTAGGTTTGTTTGTTTTTTTCCCCAGCGAAAATGGGATATTATGCCTCCCTATAGAAGTGACGAGGTGTACTTACCGTGGCAGGAGTGGTTAACCAGTGTGCAACGAGTTTGGCCATCCAAACCGACCATTGGAATATTCCCCATCTCATAACTTATAGGCATGATGTGCTGGGTTGAGCCTCATCGCGTCGACCTCCAACACGGGACAGTATGCATTTGATTTGACAGAGATACTTGAACTCATTCCGTGCTAAATGCTACTCGGGAGCATTTGCAGGTTAGATGGCATGGACACTTCATCCCCAATGCCATGGGTTCGGTCCGCCATGCCTGTCATTGGATGGCGGCACGGTATTGGGCACCCATTGTCAATGGGCAGGCCAGTCAGCTGTTGCGGTTTTGTCAGCGGGGGTCTCAAGTTCTCAAGAGATCTACAGACATGCAAACGATGCATTTAGCCAATGGCCAACAAGGAGTGAACACGATAGGTCGCGACTGTTGTCCACGACCTCCTCCGATCCGTAGATCGATATAGTTGATTGTTTATAAACATAAATCATCCCAACGCCAAAAGCACCAGCTATAATACTCCTTGCTTGACAATCCGCATCCTCATAATCATAAAGCTTCCATAAATCCATGTCTCGTGGATTGGACAACGCCATATATATACCGTGCGGAACTAGACAGTCCGCCGGGTGCAACTCTGCCAAAGATGGTGTATAACCAACACCGATATATAACCAATGACTTACCCAGGTTCAGCGCCTTCCTTCCACCGCTCTCACATGTCCAGATTCCACTCGACCAAACGATACTTGTTGATGGTATGTTTTCCAATAATGACATCGAAATGATCGGTGTGAACCACGCGGAAGTCGGACACATAGGTCTTTTGCCCGGGCACGCCTTGCCATTTGATGTTCTCGAGCACTCCATGCACAGGGGTTGGGTCAGTGTGAAGGGTAATGATCCGCTCATGGTCACCGCACGGCTTTAACTCGTGGTGCAACCGCGTCTGAAGCTCGGACGAGATAAGGTCCTTCTCAGATTGAGTGTCGAGAGCGATGATGACCGGAATAGTGTTATTATCGACGTCGAGCAAGCGACCCGGGATCTGCCATTCCTCCGTAGTGTCGGGGGGCGGGTAAATCAACAGCGTCGAGCCAGCGTTCGATCGGTCGCGGTCGCGACGATCGCCGGGTTTGAAGACGTCGAGGATCTTGCGGAGGGGGTCGGACACGCGAGACTGGCGTCGTCGCCATCTTTCTCTTGTTGATGGTGCCGGAAGATGGATCGCGGATTCTAAGAGAACGTCGTGACTTGGTTAGCCTGGAACTCGGAGATTTCCCCGCATGACTCCCTCCGGAGAGAACTCACCACCACCGTCACCGCCCGCCCCCGGGGGAACCGTCATTTATCTTCCGCCGGATGGAATGCAGGTGTGTCTATGAGATCGAGCATCCACATGCAATGCGAGAAAATGGGCATTCAGGTTGGACAGCTAGCGCGGTTCTGCAATGTTGGCTGCAATGGCCGAGGATTCGGGGATGTCGATGTGTCGATGATGTCGGATGAGGGAAGCTGGGGATTCTCAAAGTGCAGGAGATGGGCAATTACGGGCTCTTTTGTAGGAAGGGAATAGGTAGAATGGGAATCTAAAGATTGAATAAGACTGGAGAAGGAAGAGAAGAGTGGCTTGCTTCTAGAACAGGCCGCTACTAAAAGGATCAAAGGATCGCTGTGGAAATAGTTGATGGTAATATTACGGAATACACCGTACCAGATCTGTATTTATACTACTATTAGTAGTACAAGTCAACAAAATGTAGGAAAGAGGATCCAAATAGCTCTTCAGGTGACAAGGCCGTCCATCCTTCTATTCGCCATCTCCACCACCCACTGCAGATCATTACTACATAATCACCTATCAGAGCCCTTATCATAACTCTTCATCATTAGTATAATTCTAATCTAATCCCCATCATCTAAGCCCCTTCTTCGTCGTCCTTGATAACACATCTTACAGTACCTAAGGGATCATGGATGAGTGGAAAAGCTCCGACCACTTGGAAGGGGAGTATGTCTTAAGCACTGCCACACAACCATCTGTGGCTAGATCTGCGATGATATCCTCTGACATTTGGACTGTTGACCCTCGATGGTCTCATTCTCACCTGGCTGGCAATCTTCTGAAGGTCCAGATGTTCTAACCAGAAACCAGAGGGAACTTATTCTCAGGTTGCAGTCTTTCATCAATTCCAACCTGTGATTCTAATCCTACTTCGAGACTCCCTAAAGGGATAAAATGGATTCCCATGAGCTGGAGCTCGCATTGATAAGCGATGACGTAGATCTTCCCCTTCTCTTTGGTTCAAAAGTACCGGACCAGTACCGGATTATAAGAGCAAGATGATTGATGATATTGACGAGGTATTATATGATTCCCCAGACAGTCTTCAATCAGTACTCGGGGTGGGTCAGGAGCCACCTGAGGTGAAAGTGGGCCTACAGCTCCCAGGTCTCTCTGGTCTCTCTGGTCTCTCTGGTCTCTCTGGTCTCTCTGGTCTCTCTGGTCTCTCTGGTCTCTCTGGTCTCTCTGGTCTCTCTGCTCTCTCTGCTCTCTCTACTCTCTCTACTCTCTCTACTCTCTCTACTCTCTCTACTCTCTCTACTCTCTCTACTCTCTCTACTCTCTCTACTCTCTCTACTCTCTCTACTCTCTCTACTCTCTCTACTCTCTCTACTCTCTCTACTCTCTCTACTCTCTCTACTCTCTCTACTCTCTTTACTCTCTTGTCTATTCTCCTGCCTATGTTTTCTCTCTATTTTTTTAAATATTAAAAGAGTCTAGCTTTGAACTAGTTTTGAAACAGTTCTAAACTAGTTTCTGAAAATCATAGATTTCAGTCCGTTCACACTATATATATGTTTGAGACGATAGATATATAATAAATATACTATGACTATCTCAGAAAAACCAACATGCATAGTCTTATCTTTACAAATATATATATATCTATACAGATATACTGTGACATGATCAAAACATGGTAGATACACAGTCAAGCAATCAGATTGACAACAGCCCCCTTTTCTTTTATGTCTGGCATTTATATATACATATAATAGGTATAAAACACGATACCTTCCGGTGGAAATTGACTGGTGTGTGTCTATTTAGATAGAGAATAGTAGACTGTATCTCTCTCTCGTCTATCTGGGGAGTAAAGTTTCTGACTGTTTACATTGAATTGCAATGCTGTCATATTCGGCGGTTGTAGACCGTGCGTGAGGATGGAACTGCACGCTAGTGGTTGGGCATCCGTGTCGAACATCGTGACTGACCACTGCCTGGGTATTTGTATTTGACGCACGCGATATATGGAGTATATCGTCTACAGTAACTCCTACTCAAAACATGTACAATGTCTACAGTTACAGCAACGCATGGATATCAAATCATCATATTTCCCATCCTTAATATATACAGTCAGGTGGGATTGTCAAATCTAATGACAGACTTCTGCTAAATGCTCGATTTCTTCCCCAGATCGCTCTCTCGCCAACTCATTAGATAACAAAGCCATGTTAAGGTTGGTCCTTTACCTCCGCTTGTGTTTTTTTTTTTTGTTGATTTTTGGTCGCCTTTTTTGCTTTTTTTTGGAGGGTCCTCGCCGTCTGCACAGCGTACAGAACGGACGAGATGCTGCCACATTGACGCTTTGGTGGTGGAATGGATGGGGTGATGTAAAGAAGGGATAGGGTAGGGGGAGGGTAGGGGTAGGGGGAGGGTAGGGGTAGGGGAGGGATGAAACAAAGGAACAGGAATCCCGGAGAAATCGACCGGGGCATACCAGCCAGACGAACTGAATTGCAAACTCCACGCATGGCCAGGAAAGAAAAGAGAAAATAAATGTCGATAGGGAAATGCAATTTAGACTTCAACGGCTCGCGCTTGCAATGCTAGGTAAATGCAACTTGGTTGGCCCAATGGAGACAACAAGAATGGGGTATGCAATTTTAGGGCAGTAGGAAACGAGAGGAAATGAGGAACTGAAGATGGGGGAGAAAAAAAGGGAAAAGAAAAAGAAACAGAATGAAATGGGGAATAAAACAAGGAAATCCTAATCGGGATGATATCCAGCTTGGTTCCGGCTCACAGGCCACGGTTTAATGATAGACGATGCCAGGTCGGCAGATATGGCACAGGACGCGTTTGACGCACGTCATGTTGCTGTTCAAGCAGTTTGATGGTACAATATGGACAGAAATGTCCTCAGTAGCCTGCGTTGAAGGACATCTGAGGCTGGAGGTATTGTTGCGAGTATGCGGTCTCCTGCGGGTACGCGTGGCCGCTCACATACTGCACATTGGGTGGGGGCGTCGGCGAAGGCGAGCAGGCACTGGTCCCGGCCACTTTGATGTAGGAGTTACCGCCAGTGACAAACACGTCGTTCTCCGGTGTGATCGGCGGGGTGATGTAGCCGTGCGGCATGTTCGACGGGTGCGGCGCCTTCTGCGGCGTCGCCAGTCCAATCTCGCCCTCGTAAGGCTTGGACTCCACGGTGACCATATCTGACGGCGGGCTGGGCGGAGCGTAGGTGGCGATGGACGCCTGGCGGGCAAGGAACTGCTCCAGAATGCGAGACACCCGGGAGTAGTGGGTGGACGAGTACTTGCGGGAGAGGACCTGAGACGGCTGGTGCAGCTGCTGGGACAGTCCCACCAGCGTCATCGAATCGTACTGCGAGGCCCACTCCGTGTGCCGGGGCTGGGGTCGGTCAAGGATGCACCGCGACAGAGCCAGCGAGGCCCGAGCGAGGTCGGAGGATGGCTTCGAGACGAATTCCCGGTGGAACAGGGCGATCTCTGCAATGTACAGAGCCATGTGCTCTACCTCGGGATCGTACGCAGTATCCAGGACGGCGACCTGCAGGAAGCTATCCACGGTTGGGTGTCCGATGGTCCACCCCAAGGTCTGCAGAACGTGCCATTCCATCTGGATGAACATGTCGTCATCGTAGAGCGAGCAGCACATGGACTTCAGCTCCTTGATCGTGGGCACACGGTCCTTTTTGTCTCCATACTTGGCTGCAATCAGGAGTGCCGCACAGCCCACCAGCTGGTAGTGTCTCTTGTAGACGACCCGCTTGGAGCAATACCGGTCGAGCAGGTTGATCGTCAAGAACAGGGTCGACGGCAGCAGCTGGAACGCGGTGTGGGCTTCGATGAGGAAGTCAAGGAGGTAGGGACGCATGAACCACTGGATCTCGGTCTGGATATCAATCGACTCGACATCGGGGAGGGTTGCCGCCTGAACACGCACAGTTAGCCTCAGTCTTCGCAATCTGGGATGATCCAGGTGGGCAACTAACATCCATGTCCAGCATGTGAGACACAATGTCCTCACGGAACTCATCGCTAGTGATCCGGGACAGCTCATCCGCGATGGCGTACTGACGCTCCCGGGCAATGAACTTGGCATGTTCCTTGGGGTCCATGCGGGGCGCGGGGGCGTTATCGTACGACTCGACGAAAAACGTGTCACACGGCTGGTAGCTGGATGTAGGGCGCTTCTGATAAGCCATGTTTGCGAGAGAAAGGGTTGAGACGAAACACCCAAACGAGGGTCTTTCAGACGACGGATTTAAGAGAGTGACAGTCGTAAAAGATTAGAGTATTAATGAGTGGAATTAGTTGGGAATTAAGGAATGGCCAGTAATGACAATAGTCGTGATACTGGAAGGAGGGTAGGCCAGAAAACCAGGGTAGAACCGTAGGTGGCCGGAGCTAGAGAGAGAATAAGATTAGTATCAGATATTAAAAATTAAAAATTAAACAGTAGAGTGATGTGCAAGAATAGAAGCCCCAAACAAGAAAATAAAGAAGGAATGAAGAAAGAAATTCAAAAGAGCGGCGAGGTAGTTTATAGTGAAGCAATCAAAGTGAAAGTGAAGTGAGAAGGGAAGAGGGTGAAAAGGGGTCCGGATCCGCTGGGGGTAAAAGAATACTAACCCAGATGGAAGGCCTTCGGGCAGAGGGCACAATGCAACCCTTACCGTGACGGCGTGTCTGGCATCTAGGCTGGGACAGGACGTAGAGGAATGGTCCGTCAATGGATCCTGCAGAATACCAGTCCAACAGGCAAAGGACGACTGAACGTCTTCACCCTAGGAAACCGGTGCTTGCTGCTGGCCTATGGCACACTGGAATGTGTAACGGGAGTGCAGGCACGAACCCTATGAAGGGGTAGGGAGATCGTCAGGGGATATCAACATGGAATAAGAATGTCCATCACATACACTTTGCGGTCCAGTGTCTTTTGACAAGGTGTTCTTCCTGTGCAAGAAGACGGCGTTGTTGTGAAGGGGAGGACAAGTGACCAGAATCCGCATTAAGGAGGGATGCAGAACTGAGGTCAACTATAGGACACGAGATCGGTCTCCTAAACAGAAACACAGTGTCAGCCGGCCAATTCCACTCGCAATGCTATGCTTTTTGTTTTTCTCCATGCGTGACTGCCATTGCGACCTGAAAAGCTCCGGGTATGTGACTCTTGGAGATCGCCCGTCCTCGAGTATGTGCACCTGCCCTACAATCCCTTTCTTCTCACACCGACAAGCCCCTTGGTCCGTACCGTTGCTAGAGAAAAGGTTGGCCTTTTCCAGAATCAACAGATTGTTGAAATTTGACATTCATCCGGTGATTTATGGACATCATCCTGCAATTGCACCCCCTGTTTTTATCCCCGCCATTGTCCTTCACTCCTCTCCCCCTGGGCGTCTCAATCCCTCGGTCGACATATATAACCACGCAGCGTCACGCCCCCAGGGTCCGTTTCGAATGGTAGGTTCTCGTGGGTTTCGAATGGCAATAGATCCGGCCTTTTGACGGGCAATGGCTCAATGCTCCGGCGGATCCACCCCGTCCTCATGCAATTCCCCCTAAGCAATTCCCCCGGCATATAGGTGGCATGACACCGAGCAACGTGCAAAAATCGTCCGCGGTCTCTCCAACATAATCGGAATGGTGGCAGTCCAGAATGACAGGAAAGAAAATCAGTCTTACCTCGGGAAAAAAAATTCACAGCAAAAACCAAATCATATACAAGCCAGAGAGCCAGCGGAAGAAAGAAGTAACAAGGAAGAAAAAAGACACCCTTCTTGTTGCTCTTCTAACCGGCAGAAGCTGTTTCAGAGGGGGGAGAGATATCTGACAGTCGTCGACACAGTTGACACCGGGACGGACAGGTCAGGGGTGGGGAGAGCGTAATTGGTCGCCGTTTGAGTTAACAAACGTCGAAGGAGAGAAGAACGTCGAAGCAGAAGCTGACGGACACGTCTCAACTGAAGAGCTAGTACAACGGGGAGACAGACGACGTCGAGCGATAGGGATTATATCGTCGACAGTAGCTGACTCGACCTGAGGACCAGTCTCGGAACTCTCCAAAAGAATTGGCGGGGAGGAGGGGGGGGAAGGTAAGAAAAGGGGGAGGGAGGGAAAGGAGGAAAGGGAGGAGGATGAGGAAGATGGAAGAGGGAAGAAGGGGAGGAGAGATAAGTGAGGAGGAGTTTCTCTCTCTCCAGACGAGTGTGATCGAAGGAAAAGAAGAAGAGAGAAGAAGTAGAGACTAGACGAGAGACCGCAGATAGAAGTTCTTGAGAGGATCGCTGCAGGTTAGCTGGTATTGTAAACTGTGACGGGGGCTTTTTTTTCTTTACATGGTTTTTTATTTATTACAGTCCTTTTTTGGGTTTCCTTTTCCTTCCCTTTATTTCCCGTAATCAATAACGGGGGTGTGGATGCTCATACATTTACTACGTTGAATACACCGTATATGGGTATTATACATACCCCGTACTCCGTATAATAGTAGGGGGTAGTGTAGTAGGGAGTGGTTACTACTGAAAAAACAAAGTACGTACTTTACGCTAAAAAATACATACCGTTTCATCTCGTCTCAACTATACCTCACATCCCCAGTAGTAGTGGCTCTCACTCTCTCACTCTCTCAATCTGTCAATCCCATGGACAGCGTGCTCTGTCTGATGTAGTGTACCCCGAATACGATCCTCTAGGATTGCCATTAAAAGCATGCATCCCTGTGAAACACCCCGAGGAGGTGGGAAACAACACTGTCTCAAATCTTGATTCCAACCACCGACGTAGGCGTGGGAAAACCAGGTCAGCCAAGCAGATCAGACGGGAATGGTCTCGATCCCATATTATGATGCTCGCCTCCTGAACCGCCTGGAGGACGGGATTCTGCCTAACGCGACTGGCCCTTACTGACTAGTAGACTGTACGGGCCAAAGTTAATCATAATAATCTGCGGTCGGTAATCACTAAATCACTAATAGTAATAAGGAATCAATCAGATTAATACTGATACTACGGTGTACTTACTGATTACCCACGTACGATGGCTGGTATGGGTCTGATGGGGCAGTAATAGTATGGACCGTATCTCATTGTTGACAGGGAAGGGCCTTTTGTCTGATATACATGTTGCTCCATAACCATGTCTCCTATTTATCGCCAGCCTTGTCCATATCCCCACCAGTAATAGTCCACTTTCCACCTCTATCTTCAATCTTCTTTCTTGTCGAATACATAGTGACTACTACGTAGTACTCCGTACACCGTACGAATTGACACTAAACAACCCCAGAACACAGGGAACAACACTCACATTCTAACCTCTCTCAGCCTACACCAACTCCTTCGGTGGGCTTGGAGTGGGGGGGATCTCCGACCTCACCAGCCAGTCTGCACCAGCCATTTGCCCTCCCGTTCCTTGGTACCCCCATCGGTGGCCTCTTTCTCCTGGTGCTTTGGACGCGCTGATTGAATCGATTTTCAGCCCCTTCTCCGGGGGGCGGTGGGAGCTGCATCCCATGCCGTACTCTTCTGATTATTGGTGTTTGGACCGTCGTGGGTTGTTTCCTCTACTGTAACTAACTTGACTCCTGCATTCGTGGATGATATAATTGCTTCCATTCGCATGGTGTCTTGAAAACCAGACATCAAGTCGACTGCATGTCGATTGCAGTCTCGACAGCTAGGATTTCGGTGACGTGACTTGAGACTGGCTATATTTATCGTGGTTGTTACACCACTACTTACTTTATTTCCTATATTAATCGTCGGAGGCACTGTAATGATTAATATTACTATTATTATTAGGTAGATTTACTGTCTCCGGTTCATCACATTGCCTCACCCACAATCAATTGCGGAGTAGCCGACTCATTTCTTTCAGCTGCTGACTGCTGTAACTTAATCAATACCTAGGTAGTAACTGACTGGGTACTCTGTTGACGATACTCAGAACCAAATTAGTGGTGGCGATAGCCTAGTAAAGGGACTTGTTCTGACTTACATCCTTACATACATACGGTCGCGTCCTGGCGTCTTCAATCCGCCATCTGGCCGCGCTGACTGGCTCGAGCCCTAACCTCCGGCGACCTCATCGCGTGTCTTTCCCGCCATTCACGGCCAGTCGCATCCCTCGACTCCCTAGTCCAGTGAATACTGGCGGTGCTGATCTCTTTGTTGACAAGACGTCTTGAACTTTACTGTGATCAATTCTTGATCGATGAAACAATTCAAACTCAAATCAATCTTACAATTCAACATTAAAAGAATTTATCTCTAGTTACATATGACAAAGTGAAAAATATCAATTGTCCAGCAGCCCGAGGACAAAAACAAACACGAAGCCACCGCACTGCATCCATGGTCCGCACCTATCGACTACCCTCGGGCGCATGGACGCGCTCGCGTTTGCTACCCTTGTTCGAATCAATCTCCTCCTGAATCCGTTTGGGGTGAATCAACTAGCAGGCAATAGACTTCGTCGGCCGGAGTCTCTTTCTCTCCCCACATGCAGAGGGCTTTGTCAATCGTGAATCCAGAACCAATGGACTGGGTGGCTGCATACTGCACATCTGAAAGCCATGTCACTGGTCCTGTATCTTTGTCCAGGTAGATGATAGTATCGTCATCTTCCTCCGAAACCAACGGCAGCCACCTTCGAGCCACATATCTGATTCAGCGGGTTGTGACCAATGGTGTGGCCGGCCGTCTTCCGTCCGAGTATGGATGTACCCAGTAGATACGGAGTACCTTGCCTATGGGATGTAGACAAACACGCTTGACCCCGTTCACAATCAGTCGGGGATAATTCGAGACAATATGCGTTGGAACCGTTGCCGGCGTCTCCATGGATCGATCCCTCCATTCATCCATCCACGTCTATCTATCTATATATCAATCAAACCAAACGTTGGTTCCAAAATAGAACCTTGTGCTTGATCCCCGGTTGAGACGCGAATGCGAGACGCGGGACGAACCCCTTAAAGCACGCTTCACAATTGGCGCGACAAACCAACTTCAAGTCAGCTTGATGTATGGATATCCGTATTGTAGCCTAGGTAGGTAGCTCAAGAAATCTCGACAAAGAAAGCCAACCCCCGAGCTGATCCATAGACGCAGCTCCTCATTCTCCGACCGGTCGCTCACGCCCCGACCGTCGTCGTAGGTGGGGGATGGATCACCGGATCTCGATCCTAGACTAAACTCAAGC